AATTAGGAACCATTTACGATGACTTTATTTGATAAAGTAGAAAACAAGGGCGTCAAGCAACCAACAAAAGACTATTTACATGCTTCAGCGCAGTATATAAAATTTCGACATGATAGGCAGCTCAAACAAGACTCTTACGTAAAATAATATATGTAGTTATGCTTGCAATCATTTATATTATGTAGTTTCAAAGCTCAATAATTAACTTTTTACCGTGTATCATTCGCTGTACGCCCATTAGTTATTTTTAAATATAATATATATAAGAAATCACGTCATTTCATTAACGAGGCAACAACTACAATAGAACTTCCATGTTTTTATCACACAGAAGCTTCGTAGATCTGGGCGAGCTGTGAATGCAGGTGCTACGCATTTGTGTTTCACAAGATCTTGGCCAACATACCCAACTGACACTAATATGTGGCTCCCTTCGTAGGCCCTTCAAGCTTCTGTAGCCAGGGGCTCAGCAACCGGCAATTTTCCAGTAGTTTCATTGCCTCTCTGGAAGTGTCGGCTGCGAGACTAAGCAATAATGAAGCGCTTCTCTTCATAAACCCGTATGCGAGCACAGAGTAGTATATTTCATGTACGCAAGATGTTCGTATGTTACACACGGCCGTTCCCTGAAGAACACATCAGGGGAAATTTTGAATATAGCTATCGAATCCCCCCAAGACCACTAGAGGTTATGGACAACGAAGAAAAGAATAAACCAACAACTGATCGAAAAAGTTTAACGAATGACATATGCCATTGGGCTTTTGGGATAGGGGCACCACTTTGCCGCACAACTTTGTTTTTCACCCCAATATTCCCTACGGAGCACTGAAGTAAATGTTAGTCGGGTTGTATACTAAAAAAGTTTGTTTACTACTACTAATAGCCTATGTTGACAAAAATAACCAAACTGTTAATGGCTGAAAGGGCGTACTGAAAAAGCCGGGCCAGCTCACCTTATTCCTTTTATTTTCTGGATTCACGCTGAGAGTAAAGTAAATGAAGCTATTGTCGTTTTAGTAATTGCTCATTGTACATAGCAGTCATGGTCAGTTGTATTCGATTACGTTCTTGAATGAGGTCATTCGCACTTGTATGTATGATAAGTTAAAGGGGTCCTGCAATACTTTTTTGAAGTAGCCATTGAATGGATTCACTAAAGGAGCTTACTGCTTCACAAGTTAACCACCGTAAAAATGTTTCGAATACGTCTGGTACGAGCGCAGTTATAAAGATTTGTCGCACGCTGCAATTGCATTCGCTCTCCTCTCGTCTCGACAAAAGCGCTTGAAGGTACGCATGGAGGGATGTTTCAGAGAAAGCGAATACGTCACGCGCACCTCGTAACCATGAGCACTTTTTGTCTCTTTTTTTTTTCTTCGATTACGTAGCTTTTCATTGAGATCACGCTCACGCATGGACAAGTCGCGGCCTCCCGCGGCAATCCTTGTAATGACCAAGTGCGTCATATTCAAATCAACCAATTGCTGATCGAACAGCTGCGACGAGTTATTTTGGAGCTTCTCTTGTCATTTGTCAAAAGAACATAAATCAATTTTTAGATGACTTTGAGAATTTATTGTGAATTCCAAGCCGCGTGCTAAGCTATGGCATTTAGCTCGCGTGTTCTTGGTAATATCTAATACCGATCTACAGCGTTTCCTGACCATGCTAAAAATGTTCCAGGGCACTTTTAAAGCTAAATAATTCTTGTAACAGAATAGAAAGTTGGGCGAGTTGGTGTATATTCATATTCAAAGAAAAGCAGCGCTGTGTGTGGTTCTCTTCTTTGTCTCCGTCTTTTTTGTGCGCCGCTTTTCTTTGAATATGACTAAATAATTCTGTTGAAAGTACAAAAAAGTAAAACAGTAATTAACAAAGTTATTGTGATAAAAGTATTTATATAGTGACAAAATTAGGAAGTTGGCTGGGATCAAATGGAATCAGCTCGCACAGGATAGGGCAAACCAGCAATCACTATGGGAGGGGCTGAGAACGATGATGATGGTGAGGAGGAGGAGGAAAAATTTATGGAACAACTATATTCATAGAGATCTTTCGGGACACATAAATTAGGTTACGTTGGGTTAGATTAGAAAGCACAAAACCGTGTTGATTGATTGGCTGATCATGGTTGAGGTCTTTGCCCTGCAGTGGGCGTAGTCAGGCTGATGGTGATGAAGAAAGCAAAGTCGTTACGTCAACACAACAGGCACAAAATTCTCTATTTCAGTAACCATATTATTAAATAAGCTACATACACTCGAAGGGTTTCAAAAACGTCATTGTTAGCAAAAGTTTTCAGTGAAGGCAAGTATTTTAAGGAACAAAAAGAAACTATCTGTTTAGCAACAGATGATCTGCTAATGCTGAAACTTCTCGTTGGTCTTTCTTTATGGTCAATAGTTGCACCATCTCCGAGATGGCAGTTGTTGCGATGAAACAACTGCCGTAGTGACATATGAACAGTTTTGTCAAAAAAGTACTCACTGAGGCTCCTAGCCTCGTGCACTAAAGCAGCTTGCGGTGGAATTGTCGGTAAGGGTATTTTGGAGCTAGCAGTGAGATCAAACACATTATTAAAACAAACTACGTGGTCAAAGCAAACAAAACCAACCTAAATTACTGCATATTTTGATACTCTTTTGTTCACATGCTGTATGACTCAATTTATGTGTTGCTGCGAGTACGCACAAACCAAAAAAAATCTAGTTAAATTAAAATTTACTCGCTATTGACCTCTTTAAAAAAGTTTCTGTGCTACTGCAACCCACAATAAGTAGAAAACTTGGGAGACAATTTCAAAGTAACCTATAATCAGCTGTGACATTTTAGCTTACTTTTATGTTATGCGGGGACATTTCATTTTGAATATTTGCATTTTGGAAACTTTTCTGTTATGTTCATCAATTTTTTATATTAAGGAACTTGAACTGACGGCATCAGTGCTTTACGGCGTGCTTTTATATAGTTTTGCGTTTGCAACTATTATGCAACATAGATACACTGCACGAAGTCCCGATGCAGTATCTTGCTTATGAGATCTCCTTGTGTATACTAAAGTCCCGTACTTTTACCCAACATTTATTATTAAAATTCTGATTTCATTCTGATAAAAGAAGTAGGCAGTGCTTCGCATTGCCGCCAACAGCTCCTTATGTACATTCAACAAAAAAAGTGTTTGCAGACTTTTAAACTATTATTTCATTTCTTCGGGAGTTATGATCAAACTGCTGGTATGACACGTATTCTTCAGACGAACATCAACCAGAGACATAGTCACATGCCACCCGGTGCATGGTAGAAAGAACGAAAACGAAGTTAATTCATTTCATTTCACACTGGCATAGGTTGGCGAACTCACTCAAGAATCGAATCACTCGGACTCACTCAGACTCAGATCATGCCGTGAGTTCGAGTGAGTTTGGTTGAACAAAATGTGTCTACTCACGCGTATTCTAAAGCAGTGTCGTTCATACACCGTTTCAATATATATTAATTGAGGCGTGAATTCTGGGGAGGGGGTGCCTTTATGTCTCCCCACTAACTCTTCCAGGGGAGTTCTTCAAATCAAATCAAAGTTCATTTTGCATAGCGTTGTTACAGCGTTAAGGATATACAGAAAAGGGTCCCAAGGTCAGGGGACCGTACCAAGACCCTCTGTACGGAATGATCAGTAATGTCGAAAGTTGGGAGAGTTGGTAATTGCTCATGATTACATATGAAGCAGCGCACTACGGTGTCCCTATCGTTTTTTTTTTTTGTGCCTGTCGCCATGCGCTGATTCATATGTAATCACAGAATGATCAGATACAAACTGCGAAATATGCACAAAAATGTAAAAAATATCTCAAATCCAAAAATGATTATATCTGATCCTTTCGTCTTTTCTCTTTAAGAAAAATGACCTTACTTGTTTGGAATCGCCGAGAACTTCTTTTCGAAGATACTTTGTCAAATGGCACCAAGAAGAGCACCGGTTTCCCGAGATATTGGTGTTAAAGAACATTGCCACCACGTTCGAAACAGCTCATTCTAGGCTGCCGGACTTATGAGTCGATTCACTCAGACTCACTCAGACTGAGATCAAACCATTAGTCTGAGTCGGAGGGAGTCTGGGTGAGTAATGTTTTAGTGAGTTTGAGTCCGAGTGAGTCCTGCTAAAGGAAATTTTCGTGTGTGTGGGTCCGAGTGAGTCCGGCTCAGAAACGTTTTCGTGAATCTGAACTCGAGTGAGTCCAATGCTCAAAATATATTTCAGAAGTGAGTCTGAGTGAGCTCCACAAGTTTTGCCAACCTATGCACAATGGACATATTTTCGTATCTTTCTGTCTGTTTGAAGCCCCTGTGTTGCGCAGCTGCCATTGCGGGCTATGTTGTCACCCGTGATGCGCAATTACCATAAGTGCAGCTGTTTAATTTTCGATGCAGATGTCTGTTTATTCTGCATGAGCGTGTCGGGACTGAGGAGGCGAAAAGGTTGTTTCTTGGAGCTGACGCTAAAGAACAGAAGCAAGGAATCATAAAGATACATCTGCATAGTACGTGTACACTGTGCAGAAATATCACTCTGCGGCATACAGCAATGGACCACACCTTTTACTTATCACTCTTATTTATTGTATTGTCTCGCAACTGAAATATCGTTCAAGTCCGCTTGATAATGACATATCTCAACCTGAATTCACGAAAAACTGATGCACTGCAATAGTTCGAGAGATAATGTTCTAGACAATTGTTTTGCTGTACATATATCGCAGAAGGCGTATGACCAAAGGGAAAGAGCAATTACTAATGCCAAGGTTTCTGAAGGCATGCTCTAGACTAGAGTGCACAAAATATGCCGCAATCGTTGTTTATCATTCGTCGGCTCCCCGCGCCAAGAATGTCTTCAAGATTGTAATTTTTTTTATAGTAAAGACATTTTATACAGACAGATCTAGACGCTTACGCAAGGATATGCATAATTTTGTATATTACAGAGTGAAAATCGGACATACCACAAAGTCTTTCGTCGCTTCCGTCACTGCAATCCTTTCGGAAGTCGCACACATGGTCGTAAGGCAGGCATAAGCCGTCAGAGAGGCAGGAGAACTCTTGCTGCTCACAGTGCCCTGATTTCGGAGTGGCTGTCGTTGACGTGCTAGAACTAGTCGGGTTGTCTGGGAGACTCCTCGTCGTAAACCTTGAAGATATTTATTACAAATGTAATATACAATCATAAACAGTATATTCGACGTTTAGGGTGCTAGAAATGTAAGCATGAGCCAACTGCTAATTATTCAGCGTTTCTATCGCAGCACCTGATGAATTCTATACTTGTAAGCTGTCAATATTACAGGTTAGGAAATTGAACTCATATTTTCCACAATTACACACATCTCCTAGCACATCGCCTAAAGAAATATAATTCGCATTCACGGCAATGCTCATCCTTCACATCTTTACGATGGCGAAAATGTCTCGTTGACAGAACTCCAAAGTACCAATGAACATGCATTGACGAGTAATGCCAGAAATACATCGTGAGCTTCGTCTGTGTTTGGCTTCTAAAAAAAACTGGAAAAGCCTACATTACTAATTGTGATGATATCTTCAACCAAAGTCCAAAATTGAATTCAAGACTTGTGCTTGATGCAGCTAATTTTATGTTGATGCAATCTTTGTCTAATTTACAGCAAGTATTTCTATATCTGTGTATTAATATATTATCCATACGTTTTTGTTATACGATTAGCAATATTGCAAAATATAATAAAGCCCTACAGAAAAGTTGTTTCTGTATATGTCACATAAATGGTCACGCTTGAAGGCATATCTACATATCATGCGAACACAGTGAAATTTGTAAAGGTACCTGTAGTTCCAGACTTTAAAGGTGAGCTGCATGCCTTGCCTTAGACAACGGTTTTTAAGTTTAATCATTCTTATAGAAAAATACTCAACTTTATAAACTTTAGAGAAATAATAGTACTGAGATGTAACAATATGTAGTGATGATGCCAGATATGTCACGGTCTGACATGTAAAACACAAGACCTCATTTTCAAATTGAATCTTTGTAATTTATTTGCGAAATTTCTTTCTTTTTCTGTGCATGAAAACGAGAGTGGGACAGAAGCCCGTTTGGCTTGTGTGTGCGTATGTATATATATATATATATATATATATATATATATATATATATATATATATATATATATATATATATATATATATATATATATATATATATATATATATATATATATATATATATATATATATATATATATATATAATGTGTGTGTGCATACAGAAGTTAAAAGAAGTTAGAAAATATGAAGAGTACACACCTGCAGTGTTTGCTGAAGCTGATGTCATCAAGGGCTATGACGTCTTTTGGTCCTTTTCCAGACCGTACAACGAACACAAGCTGTCGGTCTTTCTGTTGAGTCACGTCAACATGATGGCGCTCCCAGAAGTCTCCCCTTGGACCCTCCTGGCGCCAGATTTCCTTTTGCGAATTGCTGCTGTTTTTGTAATAGCGTAAATAAAGGCTCAACAAATTCACCTGCCGGCTGAACATATACGAGTGGAAAGACATGCGACATGTGCCGGGTTGTACGGTTAGAGAATGAAGTGTAGCAATCTTGTTAAAACCGTGATAGGCCCCGCCAAACTCTATGTATGCACCAGAGCTGTTGAATGTAGTATGATCGAAAAGCGGGCCCGTGTCATCATTGTTTCGTAACAGTGACCGTCCTCGTACAAACTGAAGTGAGTTATTGCCATCTGCTCTGTTTGGATCTTCATATGCAAAAACGCCAGTACGTTCATCATCGAACGTCAATCTTTCGTTTTTACATTCTTCTTCATCGCTTCCATCCCCGCAGTCATCGTAAAGATCACAAGTGTTTTCGCTAGCGACGCAGAATTGTCGCAACTTGCACTTGAATGCATTCTCCTTTGAGCAGGATACGCCAGAGAATTCGTCATTTTTAGGGTAGCCGCAATCCACAAAATGTATTTCGTCCACAGCGAAATGCAGCCCACCACCATTTGATGGCGAGTCAATTTCGAAAGCGAGACGAAAGCGGCCGCTTCGACGCCCAACTCCAATGGACTCTAAAACCCAAGATTTAGCCAATTGCTTTGACGTGCGTTCCCACAGCAAAATTTCTTCAAAACCGTCAGCCACAACTAGCAGTCGCACGTGTAATAAAGGAATTGTGAGCCAATGATAAAAAGATATCTTACAATTGGGAGTAGACTGTTGGAAAGTTGGAGAGAACATTTTTATTGGTCTGTCTATTTTATTACTATCATCAGCCACATAGAACAAAAGATAACTACCGGAAGAGCTATTTTTCGTTACGTCCGAATCGGGGCTGTTTTTTATTCGCTCTGTTGCTTCCATAGCTGTAAAAGAACGCCAGACAACTCTATTTGGCAAATTTGGACTGCCCCAACCACACTCGTCTTGCTCAAAAGTGCATGATGAAGGACATTGCGCTTCATCACTGCCAAATGGACAATCACTCTTGAAATCACAAAACAGTTCCTTTAAGACACAGCTGTTGTCTTTGCATGTGAATTCAGTTTCACTGTTGCATGTATTGCCGGGTGAAATTGTTGGCACAAGAGAAGACTGGGAGATCAGACAGTCTGTTGTAAATGAGACATCATCAATGGCAATACTACCTTCGGGCCATCCGTCCAGAACGACTTGAAAGTCATTTGTACAAGACAGAGCTGCATCCACCTTATGCCACCCGTGTGTGGTATTGTTTGCCCGGAGTTCTTTGATATTGTGAAGCTCATTTGACTGTATATCTAGCAGGTTGATCATCAGTATAGCGTTCCCGGAAACAACATACCAGTAACGAAGCCTACACTTTTGTGTCGTCGTTCTTTCAAAATGAACGCTTTTTAATCTGGCATGGCTTTTGTCAAGGTTATTTTTTTCTAGAAAGAGGAAATGCCCAGAAGAATTCCTAAACGTGTGATCGAAGGTTGGCCCGTCGTAATTCGGCAGGTTCGTGCTGCTAATAACTTGCCAACGTGAATGGCCTTGAACAAGTTCTTCTGTCCAACTACACATTCCATTCTCGAAGTTGCACCTCTCTGGAAAACTGCTGCAGTTCAACTCGTCTGATCCATCCGGACAGTCTGGATTCCAGTCACAAAGCTCGGATGTTGTGAAGCAAACACCCTGAGGCTCTTTGCAAGAAAGCTCCCCTTTAGATTCACAGTAGCTTCTAATAGGAGACTTGCCACACTTAATCAAGCTTATTTCGTCCACAGCAATAGTGGTTTGTGGAGCGGATGGCGTTGCCTCCAGTTTTAATGACCATCCTCTGCTTACTTGATGCCCTATTTCGACAGAAACTTTTTTCCACGTCTCCAATTCGGGTGATCGTAGTGCCAACAAAACGGTTTCCGACAATGAATTTTCTTCCATAATACTTAGCTTCAAAATATCTGTACCTCGTGCGACGTTATTAATGTAATAAAACATTTCTAAGTAGCACGAGTCACTAGAAGTGCCATGTGGAACCGATTCCATGACAGCCGTGTCGTAAACTACTCCATCCCCCGTGGCTACACTCATGAAGAATCCTTTGCCTGAAACATCTGAAGTTGGGTTGACGCCATTGCGACCAGTTTCAAGCCTTTTTCATGAGTACCTGCCAAAGCTTACGTCTCGCCAGCCACAGGTTCCATTGTCGAAGTTGCATGTTGCGCAGTTCACCTCGTCAGCACCATCTTTACAGTCATCTACGAAATCACAGACACGCGTTACAGAAATGCATGTTTTGTCTGGGCAAATAAAATCTGTAGGGTTATAGCAACCAAGTGGTGATTTTGTCGTCGCTTCTGATGCTAATACAGGTAGGGAGCTTAGCGATGAAACTACGCAGCCATCTGTGAAGGAAATGTCGTCTATTGCCCATGCTCCATCGAGGTCGACACCCGTGGTTGCCTCAATCAAAACTTGCATAGGGCTATCAAATTTCTTAAGAGAAATTATTTTGCGCTCGTAGTATTGCCCAAATACGTTAGACGTTTTCCAAACAATGTGCTTTTTTCCGAGAAGATCAAAACGAACGTACACTGCCAAGCTTCCAGCGCTGAGGCTGTACAGACTGTATTGCAAGTGGGTGAATCTCGTTTGGTATGTGTAGTAAAAACGTAACGAACACTCAGTATCTTTTCCCGCGTCTATAATTGGACTAGAAAATATTCCCTTTTGAAGTGATTGTTCCGCAAACAAGAATCGCAAGAAGTTTCCGTAGACGGAATTCGTCGTGTGATCTCTGAGGTTGTCCTCACGGAGCGACCTTTCATCTCTTTTGTTTAGGCGTCTTCCCCAAGCAGCACCTTCCACTTTCCAATCGCAAACACTCTCTTCGAAATCACATCGAGCAGGAAACGACGTGCAATTCGCTCTGGGACTCAAGTGTTCGTCACTGAAATCACCGCAATCATCGTTGAAGTCACATACGGTGTCCTTTGGAATACAGTTTCCGTTGGCGCAGCTAAAGAAACCCCGTGGGCACTGTACTGTTGCTGCTTCCCATGTGGTTTTCTCTCTGCTGCATTGTGAAAACTTGAGGTCGTCTAAGAAAAATGCCCTGTCAAAAGACTCAAAGTTTCCCAAAAACTTCACTGAAAATCGCTCCGAGACTCTTCCTATTCGCGCAGTCGCGTATTTCCATTTTTTCCGCTCGAGAGTTTCATTGTGTCCACTCATCAGAAGTATCGTCGTGTCTCTTAGCCTGAGCTTTGAAGCGAAACCATACGTCACCTTTATAATTGCGCGTTCTGTTGTAAGAGTAGAGTAGTACCAAAATCCAAGGGTGCAGGTGGAGTACGCGTCGATCAGGTTAGGGCTGGCGATGACAGCAGAGCGCTCCTTATCATATGCCGGTAAAATTCTGAAGCGGAGAAAGCTGCCATCTTCTGTCTCAGTCGTGTGGTCTTTCGTTGGTTCGAGCAAGCTACTGTTCCTCGTCTGTTCAACAGACCACTGTGCTCCCTTACCACTCATTTTCCAATAACACGTGTCTTTCGATTCGAAGCTACACTCAGTACCACAACGCTTTTCATCTTCGCCATCAGCACAATCATTTTCAAAGTTGCATATTTTGTTACGTGTCAGGTGCTTTGTTTGGTTGTCACAGCTGAATTCAGGATGATTCGTGTCTTCTAAAGGCTTGCAAGGCCCACTAACAATAATGAAATCGTCTAGTGCCAAAAGGGAAGAGCGGAAAGCTGGAAAAGTGACGCTGAAGCCAAGGCGACATTCTTCTGAACTTGTTGAAATGTTCGTTTGAGCTTTCACCCACCTACCATTTACATCAGCAGTGGCCGAATATTCGATGACATTGTCTCCTGAATCTGTCCTAAGGAAAAAATTCAGCATATGAGGCATAGTTCCAACGTGGTAAGACCAAAAACTGAAGCACATGTCGTCGCATTTTGTTAGAAGGGGAGAAACCAAAGCAGATGGAGGATCAATAGTGTTGATGTTATTCTGAATCACCACGTAAGTTCCAAACGACTCACTGAACGTGTGGTCCACATCTGGTCCAAACTGCGAAAAGAGAACAGAAAAATAAAATGTAAGACACCTTGCAATTGAAAGCCAACATACAGTTTCATAAAAAATACTATCATCTCTGATCCTCAAACAATCCTAAAACACTTACCATGTGAGAGCGACCTGTTAATCTGTTCCACAAGGCTGATCCAGAAGATACTGGCTCGTTTTCCCAAAGACAGAGGTCCGTTTCGAAATCGCAAGAGCCCAAACTTGAGCAGCGACTAAGAATCTGCGCTTGCGTGCCGAAAGAAAAAATATATAATTTTGCCTTTAGTTCACCATGCCCGTTTACTATAGTCATTTCGATGGCGCAAGAAAACGAAAAGCAAAGAAATATTTTAAAATAACACACAGCTGAGCTAGTTAGTAGATGATGCGCAAAGGCTGACTGTCTAATATCTTTGCACTGTAGAGAGTGTAAACTCATGCTACGTTTAATACAGAAATGTAATGTTTAGTACAGAAATGAACAAAAGCGTTTAACCCCGCCGCGTTGGTCTAGTGGCTAAGGTACTCGGCTGCTGACTTGGCAGCTCGCTGAATTGAATCCCGGCTGCGGCGGCTGCGTTTTAAATGGAGGCGAAACTGCTGTAGGCCCGTATACTCAGATTTGAGTGCACGTTAAAGAACTCCAGGTAGTCGAAATTTCCGGAGCCCTCCACTACAGTGTCTCCCACAATCATAAGGTGGTTTTGGGCCGTCAAGTCTCACACATCAATGAAGAAACGCGTCTAATGGTTGACGCTTGGCATATCAACAATAGTGGCAGCACAGTCATGAGCCAACAGTCCAATAACGTGCCTAAAAAAGTCAAGTGCTTAAACAGTTATTCCCTACGTAGACCACCATGCATGGCGGATTTATAGAAATTGCCTCTTGCCTGAACATGCGCTGATAAGCTTTTGTGTAGGTCCGCCAGCCGCGGTAGTATGGCGTGTATACGGTGCTCAGCTGAAACCGGAAGGTGGCGGGTTCAATCACGAATATGGTGGTCAAATTTTAATGCAGGAAAATTGCTAGAGGCCCGTGTAAGGTAAGTGCACGGTAAAGAACAATATATGGCCAAAATTTGCGGATCCCTCTACTTTAGCAGCTCTCATAATCATACCGTGGTTTCGGGCGTCAAACCTCAGGTATTGTTGTTAGTTTTGTGGTTACCTTCTTTCCCGCTGCTGTGCGCCTTTTATCCAGTTTTTAGTCCGCGTGTATGTTGTTTTGACTTCTCTGTACTGTCCGAAATTCACACGCCCTGTCTTTTCATTTTGAAAATTTCCGTGAAGTTATCGGTATCAGTAAGGGTGACTTTATTATTGTTTATATTATCATTTGAATCAATATTTATATCTATAGCTGATTGTCAAGTGAAAATATGTAAGTATGCAATATTTACATAACCTCACGTCAAACGACATGCACCACATCAATACACCGAAAAAAATATTTCCCATTAAACTATTCAATATATTGACACACACTTATCAAACATTCTTGTCATGCGACAAGCTCCTTTTACTTGTCAATCAAGTATTCTCAAAGCGTTATTGTTAACAGCTAGCACATATTTATGCCTTTAAGGCCTCTTCACTACGTTTTACGGCAAACAGTCCCACAGGTTTCAGAGTGATGCTATAAAAATGATCGCATGCGTCATCGTCACAGCAGGAAAGCGATAGCAAGAGAGTCATTCCCCATACCTCTTAAGCTTTCGCACTATCGTAAAAAAACTCTCTACTACAGTGTATGGGCACTTGCCTCCTGTGTGTTTTGTGTACTACCTTATTTATATAGGCAGCAATTAGCATTCTCGCAAGTTTTTGTCTTTGCTCTCGAATGTCTTGCGCCGCATTTGCAATAGCTTAAAAATAAAGATAAATGCAGTTACAAAATTACCTTTCAAGCGAATTCATACCACTGCTACGCAACACACATAAACATCGGTCTACGAAGGCTTTAAGTAATAGTAACGCAAGCCATTTTATTGTGAATGAGATATTTGGTGGAGAGATGCCGCCAGTGGTGTCGACAATGTAAGGATGGATGATATATGTCAATTACTTCAAATCAACTATGCTTTGTTAATTATTAGCTAAGCTAATAATTTTATCCATCTTATTGTATTTTGGAAGATATAAGCAGTTTGTCACAGCAATATAAGCTTCTCTCCAAAAGATTTGTAAGCCGGGCGTGTTGGTAATAGACACTTATAATTATACCGCAACTATACAAAAACACAAAAGAAATAATATATATATATATATATATATATATATATATATATATATATATATATATATATATATATATATATATATATATATATATATATATCGAAACATTTATCGCAAAAAAATTTATTCACACGGGAAGCGGTAGGGTGCGGCCCTTCTTCTAGGGCTACAGTGGCTTAAGCATGATAAAAAAGCGCTCATCTGTCAACCCAGAGCTTATAGGGACAGCCCATGTTTTCGCGTGTTTTTTTCTTTCTTCTGAAACATCTGTTACGTTTCTAATATCAGCTGTCCACTTGACAACAGGCACGAAATCATTATTTTCTTAACATAAGTGGCAAAGCAGTTCATCTGCCGATTATGATGAGCCCTCTAATTTTGTTAGCGTAAAGGTGAACTATCAAATCTTTCTTAATTATGAAATATTTAGAAAATTTTATTTGTAATTACACGGACGTCTCAGTGACAAAATCATTCCAGCGGAAACTACTTTTATTGTGTAGGGGCTGTATTAAGATAATATTAACTCTTCGTACAGTTAGACATGCCTGACCTAGCACCTAGAAGAGCGATGCTTTAAGCTTTTTCTTCTGCTTTAACAACAACGTTTCTCGTAATACTAGTTATGCATGGTGAATTTCAAGTCATTTCTAACTAATAACAAAAGAAAGGCATGCATTTTTTGCTTACCTGAATGTCATCCACAGCAGCGACTCCTCCCGTTGAATACAATACAACTTGTAGGTAATATTCGAACGGCAGTGTTGTAATGAAGTTTAGGTTGACCTGAGCTGAATGCCAGACACCCCTTCTGAGCAGCGGACTCTCTCTAAATGTAGCTTCGGGTCTTAGTGTGCCACCTTGGCTGGTGCCGAGGAACAGCTTGTGCCCACCGCTTAACTGATACCAAAATCTGGTACACCCGCTGCCTCTAGCTTCTTGTATTTCGCTGAATGTCGTCACTGTTGTCCCTGCACCGAAGTGACAAGATGAATCAGCGTAAGGAGTAGGATATTTGTCGAATTGCAAGCTTAGCATTGACACCATGGCAATTGCCATTGTATGGCTGCCTGCCAGGGCATGCGCGTTTATATCGACCAAAGAAAACAGAGGTAATTATTCTTAAGACCACGTTTTTACTTGAGATTCTAGATTTGTAGCAATAATTCTTTTAACACGTTTTGTTCGAATAAAACTGAAGAAATTCCCCTCAAAGTTCGAGTATATTATGCAAAGATAATTTGCACAACTTTTGCCACACATTCGTCAAGGCAGCAGCAGGTGCCGCGAAGTCTCAGCCGAAATGAAGAAAATCGGGACAATGAAGGTAAAACAGCTAGCACGACAAATTTTATGGACAAGAATGGTGATGAATAAAATTTAAAAAAGTATTTTAACTCAAGGAAAAATGAGCGATAAATCAGTCGTTCTACGGCATCCGAGAAATACTGATAAATAATTGAGGAGTAAAAATAAAGGCCGCACCAAAAGACCACGACTATACAAAATAAACTCCGAAAAAGAAAGCTTGCATGGTATAAGCAAAAAAACAATATATCCGGAGACGTTGGGCACTAAAGCAGGCTCTTCGCCTTTGCTTTAAACACCACTAATTTGCCAGCTCTGCACATTTGTGGGGCTAAACGGCTTCAAGACTGGCGTGGTCATTTAACGGCAGCAATAAAATTCGCAGCACGTATGGTAAGTCATTCGCACCACGTCCGGTAATAAACGTCTCCTAGCCATGTTGAGACGCATTCCCAATGCTCGGAAATAATTTCGAAAGCACATTTTTAGGGCAGTTTTGAAAACTGCAATGAATTAGGAATGAAAGGAAAACTTTCTCACCCTTTTCTCTCTATTCTACTGTTTTTTTTTTATAATGGGTCGAACAAAAAGATAGTAAAAACCACTATGATACAGACAACGCTCAAAGCAAACCGATTCCCCGCAAACCGAAGCAGCTCGGGGCCACTAAGACTATATAAACCGAGCCCCGAGGCAAGCTACGACACGAAGTGGAGCTGAAACATAATTTTTACAGCTATAACGTCGAGAAGTTTCGATCAAAAAAGCAAAGAGTACGTGGCTCGGATAGCGCACATTTGCTGTCCCGTGAGTTCGCACAGAAGAACAAAGAAGGTACCTGCAGTGAAACGGATAGGCTTAGGAGACATCAGATATGTTTCGATACGCAATTGAAGATCAACGATTTAGCGGTGGTATCTCCAACTAAATTTAAACTCAATACACATGTGTAAAACAAATCGTAGCCCCCAGTTCCCATGCTCCATACGCCCGATCCTACAGCTTACATACAGCACGTAAACACCCTTTATTTCACCAGAATAACGCACGCAATAATTGCGGACCTAATAAACAATGTTGTTTGACGTGGTAGCAGCGACAATTCCCGCTTAAGCACAAAATCTCATGAAAGCTGCGCTATCGGTATTGCTGAAGGCCAGTAAATATTGATATTAACTTTCACATCTCTGAAATTGAACTGAAGCGTTCGCTAGGAATATATAACATGTGTGATTTCTCAAAAAGTGCCGCGATACCTGCATCTGCGAAACTAAAGCGAGACGCAGCATCAAAGAAACGCCAAGATGACTTCTAGTTGAATGTCTTGGCTTGGACTCGTTTGGCTCAAGGCACTGTCAGGGGCTTTGTAATCTGACCTTTTTAAGTGCGCGTTCAAGTACGTCATACGATGGCCGTACTAGATTGCCTCGTAGCGTCCCCTTGAAAAATAGCGCTTTGTGTATACGTAAGGCACCAAACTTGCGCTGAGAAAGCAGAAAAATGTGAGGCAATTTGTTTGTTTTTTTTTTCGATGAAAACATCTACAAACCTTGATCTCGTGCTACCTGTACTTGAAAAGTTTCGCTCAAAGCTAGCCACTTCCCTAGAAAACAAAGCTTCGCTTTGTTTTCAAATTGTTCTTTCATGCAGTGCATGAGAGAGGCATAGGTTTTTTTTAGGAGACAGCCTAAAAGTCTCAACTTTGTTTTGTTTTGTTTTGTTTCTTTTTGTCTTTTTTGCGCAACATGATAACCTTGATACGTGTTCTGCTGGTTTACCATCTTCACCAGTAAGTGCGTGCAGCAACGGCTCTTTGGGGGAACTGATTTTCACTTCGCGGAAGCGGCACACTATGTTCAACATTTTGACAAGTTTAATAAAATAAATTCTTAAGATTCAAAAGCCCAAATTATGACACTAATATAAGAGATGTCGTTCACAAGAACGGAAGTTTTTTATCGTATAGATTCTCCCAAAATTTCTTCCATGACGTAAAATCCTTTAACCCTGTATTTTTACAAATATGACAAGTTGTGGAAGCCTGCCCATACATAATGTTTTCTGGTAATTCGATTTCTTTCTCATTCAGGCAACCAATCAATTTAGGTAACTAACACATAATGGAAACATATGCTCAGACGCTGTATCTAGCTTCAATAATTTCTCTCATGCTGCTAATATATCATCAATAAAAGATTCTCTAAACCTCCCTGCTCGTTCTAATAGGAGGAAGCAGGCTCGCCTATGTCTCTTCCAGAATTTTTTTTATTAATCCTGAAATAAAACGCACATTGTCCTCACCAACAACTCCCGTACGTTTCATCTCGCATCGGCCACAACTTCAGTGTTCATGTACCATTCTGCCATACCAATATTTAATTTCACCCCTACGTACCCAAGACTACATCTCAATGGAACCACCTTCCTGACTCTATCGCCTGCGATCCTTATCATGCATGTTTCAAGACTGCCATTCGTACCTGACACCACTCGATCGATTGATTGATATGAGGGGTTTACCGCCCCAATACCACCATATGAATATGAGAGATGCCTTAACACCACTCCTCTTTGTAACGCCACAAGTGGTAATGAGAGTATGTAAATTATTTATTTTTTAATTATTCAAACTAAATAATCTTTATATATTCCTTTATTTTATACTAGAGATTACTTTCAAATTAACAGGACCACAGGAAAGAACAACTGGAGGCCACTTAACCCGAGGAGCTCAGCTGAGTGCTTCTTTTTATGTTCCTGAATTTCGTCCAATTAGTTTACCATGTCCTAACAAGTATCACCAGCTGGCAACCTGAATCAGGTACTATCAAGCTGCAGCAAAGACGACGAATAACCGCAAGTTAGCGTTGCAATTTTACCACGCCATATTAGGACGTTCAATAATTTGATCAGCTTTGATTTTCGGACTGAACGCACAATCACATATGTAATATATTTACTGTTTAACACAAATATGCACACTTCATATGTGCCTTAGATGAATCTGCATGAGGGTTGGGGAGGCAGGTAGCATAGAGAACTAACATGTTCAGTGCGAGAAACGCGACACTGCGAGCAATGTATGCGCATCACATCACATGGAGTCCTGGTCATATCTTTTAAGCATAAGCGCATCGCACACTTGTGAGCTTAAAACCATGAACGATGCATAAAAAGAATCAACGTCTAGACTCACCTATTTCTGCCCCTTGTTTAGACGTATTCACGGCAAGAACGTGACCGCTTCCAAAGCCAAACGTGTGGTCCTGGCCACCTGTTACGTCTTCAGCTGCAAGTCTCTCCCACTGAAGCTGTGCACTGCCATTCCTGGCACGCCAGCCACAGTCGTCCGCCTCAAAGTCGCATAGTGGCGGCATCGGGCAAGAACCGACGTTCACTGCGATGTCATCAAGAGCTGTATAACCACCTTGCGTCTTTGAGGATTCAAAGCTCAAGTACACAGCACTGTCACCATCGAAACGCACGTGTGCATAGTTCCACTGGGGTCCTTTTGAAGCAACGTTAGCCCATGCGACACGAGAAGCCTGCGTTACCGCATCTTTTTCACGAAGGATCAACGGCACGAAAGTTTCTCCGAAGGCGAAGAAAAAGAACTTAAGGCAAGCGCCTTCGGTCCCAACGTGAAGTGGAAATTCGCTCTGCAGTATAGCATTATCTTCTGACAATTTTTCAAAGGTTACATTAGACACGAAGTCCACGTAGGCAAAGCTTCCGTAAACAGAATGTGTCGTATGGTCAGTTTCTGGCAATGAAGGTTGGAGATGACCGTGATCATTGCCAAGCTTACGCAACCACACACTCGCACCGCTTGCACCACTGTTCCTCCACGCACAGTCGTCTTCTTCAAAGTCACAGTCAAGAGGGTGAACAGGGTAGTGAGGGTGAAGTTTCGGAGGTCTTTCAGCTTCTTTGCAGCTTCCGTAAAACAATTCCACCTCATCTATGGCAATTCCTGATATGATAGAGTGATTAGCTTTCATGTTTGTCTTTACAATTATTTGAAAGCTCCTCTGGTCTTCTTCGCCTACAAACAGAAAGAAAAAGGTTTGGTTTGACTTTTGAAACCTGCATAATTTTGGTATATGGACAAGCTTCAAGAGCAACACAATACAGTTAGATGATTCATCATGCCAAAATAAGAAATGAGGCAGCAAAGTGGACTACACAATACAAACTACTTGACAACTAATTCAAGAAAACTTCACAAAGCTTAAAATCACAAATATCGTCCTATGGTAAAGTAATGCAATATAGTGGATCTTCAAAACGAAAAAGGAATGAGTATGCAGTAACAGAGCATGGAATTAGGCAATTTGACAATGGAAACAAAATTATGCGGTTCTTCAATGCGCAGCGTGTTTTTGGCCCGTCATCCCCATGAAAATGCGACAACTGTGGCCGGAGTCAAAGCCTCGAGCTCAGCACTGTTCAGTGTGAGTGACTAACACAGTGCGCGGCCGGGGTGGTAAAAGTATTCCCGATTGCGTAAAGATTAGATGAGAGTGGAAAAGTTTGTGACAGCAACTATTCTGTGAAACGGACATGGGCAGTAACACAATATTATAGGGGTTTTTTTGTGCCTACCGATTATGAGCCACGCCACAGAGGATGGCTTAGGAAATTTTGACCATCTGGTGTTCTTTGACGTGCACAGACATCGGACAGTACAAAGGCCTCTAAATTTGAAATGCAGCGCCGGGGCCAGGATCGAATCCGCCACCTCCGTATCAGCGGCCGGACAGTGTAACCACTACACCACTGTAGCAGGCAAGTGGATATGATCAGATCGTATTCTAGTAACTGCTGCGGTTATTCTTAATACTGTCAAACGAAATGAACACAATTTTCAGAGTTCTCTCTGCAACAGAGAAATATTACCCACTTCAACAGTAATGTTAAGCACCCAAATAAATACTATAGTTACACAAACTTTCTTGCAATTCCGATCATCGGCTTCGTAACAAACAAATAATTTAAAATTTACAAGAATTATATTATTATATATTCTTTAACATACCTGTCAGCACTAGGACCTCTTGCTTTGTCCAAGTCAGTCCATCAGTCAAGTTCAATAAGAGTTCACTGTTCGCAGCACCGTCTTTCGCACTCTTGATCAGGAGAGAAGAGCTTTTGGTATGACAAAAAATGTACCACAGGGAAAAGCAGTAACGACTTTGTCGCTCAACATCAACATAGTCGGACAGCAAAATTATGTCACCAAGAGCACTTGTGCTTCCAAGCTTCGCGAGCATGTAATGTCCATAAGAGCTCAACGTTGTCAAGTCTGTATCTGGTCCTCCTAATGTCATACCTTCAGAGGCAGTTGTTCTTATCCAAGCAATACTGGACCTTTTTGCGTCGCTGACCCAACCACAAGCATCACTCTCGAAGCTGCAAGTCACTGCTTCTTCGCATGGCTCGAGGCTAAACTCCACGTCGTCTAAAGCAATATGCGAGTAATCACTTACAATATCCGTCGTCTGAAGCGCCTCTATGACAACCTGGTATCGAAGCAGATCATGCAGTGTTACATGACCTCGACGCCAAACACCTATTTGGTCATCAGAACGGCTCCACACAGGCCTCAAGTCATCAATGCGAGACGACCCGTTTAGCCGCTGGTAAACAGAAAGCGTCCCAGCATTATTACCAGCCATGTTGAACCAGTATCGAAGGCAACGGTAACGTGACTTCTCCAGGATCGGTGAATACAACGAAGCTCTGTCTCCTTGACGCTTTGCAACAAATAAAGCGTAATGACCGTAAGCCGTACCCAGAGTGTGGTCATGGCTTGGACCGGCAGCAATGTCCATCGTCGCCGAAATTTGGTTCCAGCCTTCGCCGAGCCCTTGTTTATCAAGCTTCCAGTTGCAAAAATCTGTTTCAAAGTCACAGAAATCTACTCGACGGCACGGACCTTCTGACAATGCGACATCATCTATTGAAACGAATGCTCCTTTCATCACATTGTTGTCTGCAACAGCTGAAATTTCAATTTTGTATTGTTCTTGAAAAGAAACCGGCAGTTCACCGAAATTCCACCCAGTCCTGTCAGCACCTTGCCTCGTAAATCTCAATGTTGCATTTAGTGTGGATTTCGCAGTGGAACCATCAGTACAATGTTAGCCCAACCGATGGAAGGAGGAACATTAGCAAGTATCGTGCTATCATTCTGGGGTAAAACATAACGCACAGTAAGTTTAGTAGCAGCCAGGTTGTCTTTGTAGAAGTACCAAAAGCTCATTAAGCAACGAGATGAAGAAGGTGGAAGCACTGGGCTAAGCAGCAGAGCCACATGGGAAGAGCTTCTTTGCGTCTTTAAAGCCACCAAGTGACCTTCTTCGCTAAGCGTAGAGTGGTCCGTCTCAGGTTCAACTAGATCTTTGGCTTGCATGATTTGCCAAACATTAGCCCCTCTGCTTTGATCAATCCATCCACAAGTACCATTCTCGAAATTGCATGGTCCACACATTTCCTCATCTGAGCCATCCAGGCAATCTTGCTCGAAGTCGCACACTTGCTGGCTTGGGATGCACCCACCATCCCTACACTCAAACTGAGACAATCTGCATTTGGGAATCGGTGGTGGAGGTGGATTCGGAAGCGTGTCATTGTACAACAAGCAGCCAGGGCTTAAAGAAATGTCATCTATTGCTATATCAGATGCGTATCCAGCACCTAGTGATCCCTCGAGAACAAAGCAGAACGGTTTGTCACTATAAACAACAGCTGAAGCTCGAATCCAACTTTGGCCCCTTGGCCCCTCGACCACGTAGAGACTTTCCCACTGTGACTTTTCTGTGTAGTTCTGGTATTGTGCAAAAAGAACAATTCCACCAACATCCTTGCCGTGAGCAAAGTAGTGAAACGTCACTGAGCAGCCGCCATGGTTCGCAACATAATTAGGACTTCTGTAAAGAGCCGTACCATTAAAATGGCTCCGTTCTGTAGCTTTAAGTAAAAGCACGCGTCCAGCTCCTAGACCACCCATTGTGTGATCGCTGTGCGGCCCTGTATTTTGATCAAATTTTAGATACGGCACTGTGTTGATCTTCCATGTAAGAACGGCCTGTGACTTGGCGTCTATTCTCACCGACCACCAAAAACAGGGATCGGCTCCTGGCTCGTATGTGCAAGTTGCGTAATTCTGGCAAATATCAGAAGCTTCATCCCAGCCATCGCCACAGTCATCGACATGATCACACAGTTGACTTCTTGTAATACAAACACTACTTTTATGACACATAAATTCATGCGATCTATTGCATTTTTCAAGAGAAGGGGTGGGCAAGGCACAGTTTTCAAAGCTAATCGCATCGAGAGCAGCAAACGTCGCCGACGATGTCATCGAAGACCCAGCCTCAAAGGACAGGGTGAATTCCGTTTGGCTGCGCCCAATCGTAGCCTGACCTTCCACCCACACATTTTCTCCTGCTTTTTCTAGAAGCCACAGTGTGATATCGTGGTCAAGAATGTGCTTACGCACAGCTAGCTTAATGAAACGCCCCGAGGTGAAGTACCAAAAGAGTAGGGTGCAGTCTTTTCCAGATCGCTTTAGCCGGTATGTATTATTAGGACTGCGTAAGAGGTCTCCTGACTCGGTAAGGTGCCTGCGCCCTGCCGTGTAAACATAACCACCATGTGCATCCCCTTTGCTTTTATCCTTTCGTGGTAGTGGTGAATTGGCCTCAGTGTCTTTGGCTATCGTCCAGTTCCAACCAGCGGCCCCATCCTCACCAAACCAACCACAAGTGTCTGCATCGAAGTCACACTGTCCACACAACTGCTCGTCATCGCCGTTTATCGGGCAGTCCTCTTTAAAATCGCACACTTGAGAAACATTCACGACAGTAATACCATCATGGCAGTGGAACTGCATTTCCAAGCTTTCATGACAAGCACCATGGCTGATACTGATGTCATCTATCGCGATTTCTCCTCCTTCGGATTCACCAGTTTTACCAGCAATGAGCACTCTAAACTCCATGAAAGGGCTACTAACAAGGTCGATTGTAACTTTCTTTTGTTCCCATTGCTTCTCTTGTTTTCCCGTGACCACAATAATGGGTTCCCGTTTTTCTTTTCCATACTCGTTGACGTAGACAACGATCACACGTAGTGCACTGCTACTAGAGCCAACGTCGGTGACACCCATATGGAGCCACAGAGAAAAGCAATAAGGGCTGCCTCCAATCCAGCTTTGAGATTTCAATAGGCCGTTGTACGTTTCCTCTGCCCTTTTGGTTCTGCCGTCCAAATACACATACGTTCCTAAAAAAAAAGAAAGAACAGCAACAATTATCGTTAGCCTGAGTCAAGGCAAGTCGATGCTAACGTGATAAACGCAAGTAAAATTAATTCGTTCGCTAACTCGCAAAAAAAGAACCTATGTACAAGCGTAAGTGCTGTAAATGCGAATAAGGAAGGATATGTATATGGAAGCATGCGTTAACTTTTATTCGATTCGTTGTTAGAACTTCGGAGCTCTATATTTAGTGACACATATGATATGGTACAAGTGTATTCATGGGCACGTGTACAAAGTATTATTCTCATCAGCTGCTTTGTTTGCAGATCCAAAGTATTCCAAGATGGGTTTGGTCAAAGCGTAAATGAGAGGTCAGTTTGGCTACAATTGTCTAGTTATAATTACCTATTTAGTTGTACTTGCTGTGGTTCTAAAGAACACACGGTTGCTTACAACACCATGCTAGTGCCTTGAACTTACCGTCACGAGTTCCCAGAGTGTGGTCGGCCAGAGGCCCGGTAGACGAATTTGGTGCGGAGCCTCGATTTCGCACCCACATTCTTTGCACGTCGGAGTCAGCGTTTTCCCACCCGCACAAGTCCGGCCCTTCGAAGTCACAGTACCCTATCTCGGGACATTGTCCTTCCCTAAGCGATATGTCGTCGAGCCCCACCGCTACCGAACCACCGTGCTCCACCTCGGCCGTCAAGAGCACCTGCAAGCACGCAGGCAGTGGGTGTAAAGCTTAGGGTAATGTACCAATTAGTCTTATTTCGGAAGCTACTTCTTAGTCTCAAAATACATTGGACTTTCGAAAACGCTGTCATTTCTTTCGCTGCAGCAGGCTAATGTAATTCTGCACTCAGAAGAACCAATTTCACAACGAATAGGCTTGCAGGAAGAAAGCCTTGCTGCTAAACACAAACGTGATTGCGATATAAGAAGCTTCTATAAAATTATCACAAGCCGAATTTCATTAGGTGGGTTTTGAGTGGAGTCACTCGTTCTAGGCGTTCGAGCAAAGGCCTGAATGTGGGGTTTGTTGACGGGATCTAGCTGGTTACGGATGACAGGAGTTCACGCTAAACGGTGACGCAATCATTGAAAACAATAGCGCGGCTGTAGCGATAGCAAGGTATATAAAAATAGCGAAATGAAGGAGTGATATTTAACAGGAAAGCGTCTAAATAAATAACATACTCATGTGGACGAATAAAGAAGAAAAGAAAGAGAAAAGATAAGAAAGCGGTGAACATGTGCTCGAGCGCCCAGGGCACCAGATATTCAAAGACGCTAGTACAAGCCAGCCGTTTTCGAAAAGTGCACAAGTGTTTTTGTGCATTTTGCACTGACAATCGGGGAAAATGATAATCAAGCATTGCCTTCAATGAATCACCAATGCTCATTGATTCATTTTCAACACGCACTGCAAAATGCAACATGCGCTATTAGGCATCTGTTTATTCAATTGCAGCGCACGCAGTCGCACAAATACATGACTCCTATGTTTTTAGTCCAATAACTTCGAAAACAATATATGATGCGTAACTGCGATGACTGTCAATCTGCCACATACTAGAAATAGTGGGATCTATAAAACTAATTATTTTAATTGGTAAATCTTCATAGCAGTAACGTACACATTTCTACATACAAAATCAATATTCTTTCGTACTTTTTTATATGATTAACTTTTTCCTTAATTGTTCAGTTCCGAGCCATGTTTTAATTGCTGGGTTTGTGTCAGCCAGTACACAGAGTTCAGCAGATGGCTGAAAGATTACACGCTGCATCAATTTCGGCTATAATAACATCCGCTGCAACATACATTGCTATTCTAAATCACGCATTTGTAACGAAAGCTCATACACTCCAAAAGCTATGTACTCATATATCCACACCGTGTTATCTGTTTGTTTGCTTTTAGTTTATTTGAACGGTGTCTGCTTATTGTTGATGACTAGCTAATGGCAGTAACCTCCTCTATTGTCACTGTCGAACCAGAACGTCTTCGTAAGTTTCTTCGCCATCATTTCTAAACTATTTTTTATTCTATTCCCTAAACCTTTCCTTGAAAGCTATAGTGTTGTACTTTCTTCTACCGACGAGTCCCTTCAGTGAGCCGAAAGTTTTTTTTTTTGTTTTGTTTTTTACGCTACAATCATCAAGGGATAATATACATAGGTGCAAGTTGTGCAAGTGTCACGGGCACAACTTCAAGCCATAGGCTGCGAGTTGCGTTATTTACCAAATTGAAGCGTTGCCGCAAGCAAAATACGCAAGATCTTCCCTCCACGCGAGCGCAGCGGCATCTCAGTTGTGGCACAGCAAACATTACTTTACAAGCGATAGACCCACCTAGCAGATGGCGCAACGCTTCCTCTCAACATAGAAGCACCTACTATTCATTCGATGACTTTTATTCATGTACTGGCACTCATCATTCCTTTTTCCTTATAACCCTCCCCCCCCCCCCCACATCCTAGCGGATGCAAACAGCCCAGCTTATCCGTAAATATATTACGCTTCTCACGTCCATTCACACGTTCAAATCGCCCAACTTGTGCCTATAATAATGTTGCGCCTTCTTCTTTATAGTCAATGTTACTTTCCTTCACGTTTCTCCATTAAAGTAACTTAATACAATGACGACTGTGCAAGCAGCTATTCCCAGAACGCATGTAGAAACGGGAGATATTAAGAGAGAACATAAATTACTGTCAACCGGACATCCCACCGTAATACGATCGTGTAACTAAACGTTTGCTTGTTGTTTTATTGTTATTATTGTTGTTTCACAATAACAAATGGTGCGGCGTCCTTCTAAGTTTGTATTTCTCTGGTTTTTCATTTGTTCTTGCTTTTTTCGCGTGGGTTTCAGTTCTGTCGCTCATTTTTTTCCCCCTTTGTCGGGCGCAAGAGACTTAGCACTCTTGTAGCAGCTTAAGACTAAATATTGGTTGTGCTACTATATAAATCAAATAATGAATGAATAAACGTTTTTTATGTTACAAAGTACAAGACAACACGGCGCATATGGTGTCATTCTTAGAAGCACCAACTCTCGCTGCTCTCCCATAGGATTGCCAGTTAAGGGAGCCAATTAGAGATAATCGCACTATTCCATGCATGAAATGAAAATGAGTTACGAAAGCGCAAGACGCCACAAAACACACAGCTACTACCACAAACAGATAGACGACCGACTCTGGAATTTTGCGGACAGGCAGCGCCACCTGTCGACGCAGTTTTGAGTAGTGCAAAGCTCGAATTCCTTGCACTGTTTGCTGTGCAACCAGGTGCAACTACAGCGTAAAAAAACAGCGATTGAACTAAATATCAGGTGTATTTCAGTGTTGACCTTTTCGAAAAACATCTACGAGTTTTTCACCGCTAGTCAGGCGCGTCACCAAACCGCCGTGAAGGGCTTGCTGGTTCCCTCGTCAGCACGACAGCGAAAACAGGAGCAGACGCAACAGCTCCGCGCTCTACGAAAAAAGACCCCAGCTGACGCTACAGTTGCGTTGTGAATTGCTAGGGACGTTAGGGACTTCGTTTTACTGTTTCCCGCAGCCTTCGCGAAGCAGAACGGCGAGAGCACTAGACATGGGCGGTTGTGTTGGGTAAGCTAATCACTCACGTTGTCTACAGCCGTTCGCGTGAGAAAGTGTGATCACGTAAGTCTCCTGTTATTGTTTTCGGTAGTTTTTTCTATCAAGGGGAACCGTAGTAACTTTGCTTATAAAGCTTAACAGAGCCACTGACCGCAGTGCGCACTATGTAGCAGCAGACAGCAGACGATAAACATCGCACACGCCACGACTGCCGACAACCTGAAGTTCCACAGCATTACGCCTGAAGGCTTTCGATGCTCTAAGTTCCGGCTTTATCTATGAAATGCAAACAAGCACGTCATACAGGTAAATTGAAAAATTATCGGGACTACACTATTTTTTTTTCTCATTGATCTCCCCGATTGCCGGAGATGATCTCGGATGCCTCGGTTTTACATTTTGTTGTACACAGAGAATTGGACACGCATACATCCCCGTTTGCAGTACATACAAACGAATGACCGTTAACCGTCAACAGAACATTCTAGCATGCATGATATAACAGTTCAACGCACAGGAAGCGAGAGATCAAAGGAGAGTGCAACTTAAGTAAAACTTCTTTTGGGCCTAGTTGGTTCATAGCCATAGAATATACTTTTACAGCGCAAACATAAAACGATCCACAAAGAAAGCGACGACACACACCAGCGCTGACTAACAACAGCAGTTGTTAGTCAGCGCTGGTGTGTGTCGTCGCTTTCTTTGTGGATCGTTTTATGTTTGCGCTGTAAAAGTATATTCTATGAGAGTGCAACTGCATGACGAAAATTGCCAGGACTATTTGTGCTGAATAAAATGAACTTCGTACCACTAATCGTAAAATAGATTGCTCGTCTATGCACTTCGTCGCTTTGGCATCATGTGTATGCCCAAGTTTAACGCATTTAGGCGTTAGAAAACGAACGTCGGAGTGCTTGCCTGTAACCCGATGTCATGCGATGCTCGCTTGCTCTAAATGTACCAGTTGCAGTACGCCGAATTAACTGAAACATCTTTCACATCATACCCACAGTTTGTTTTTATGAGCTTCCTACTTTTCTGAAGCTAGTTTGGATTGATGTAAGAAGCTTGCCAGGTCCTTCATTTTGCTGAAACCGCGCCTCAAGGCGAACGAAAGAGGAGGGCCTATACATGTTCGCTTGCGGACGGCTCACTTTGTAGTAACCATTTATGGCCGGCGCGTCGATGGGGGCGCTGATGGCGGCGTTTTTCGCAGCGCCGCCTGGCCAGAGTCTGCCGTCTATACACGCAACGGTGCACGCAATTCGCATTACTCTTTTCTCATCTGTCCATTGATTTCGCACGGTAACTGACGTCTCATCAGTCAGCATATAAGACGAGCACGAAGAAAAAGGAAAGGGTATCAGGCACTTTGTAATTGCTTGTTTTACAATGCTTACTATCTTTCTACGCAAGCACCTCTTCTTGATTGTCACTTCGCCACCGGAATACAACAACAATAACTTGTACGCTTTCCTTTCTTGTAGTGAAAAAACAAACGTTCTGCACCTATTTTTCACCGCACCTACGCACCTCGTGCCATGAAGCCGACATCACAGTGGCGCTTCCATATCGCCAGCCGGCTGACGGGACTCCGAACAGCATGTTCTGCAAGTCAGACGCTGTGCTTCCCGGTGCTCGTACCGAAACGTTCAGGTGTCCAACACCAGTGCCATCTATGAAGTACCACAGGGTAAGACACCGCGCATTCGTCGGCGACTGCTCGGGAAGCACCAGGCTGGTGATGTAAGGAGGCCTTTGTTTCGGCTTCTGTTCGTTCAGGTGCAGGAGTAGGAAGTGGCCACCTGAAATCATCGCATGCTCAGTACGGGAAAGTTGAAGTAGAATTAAAGGTGCCTTCTATTTTAAACGCTGCAAGTCTGTTGGGTTCCATCTGTGAAACTTATTAGGGCTTGAAGAGAAAAAAGAAAACCTTTTATCTTCATTTGATTTATTCAATACGTGAAATTCAACTTTACACTTTAGTTTCGCTGCATGCGAGGAGCTTATGGTCTTCGTTGCTTTGTCAAATGGCAGCAGATAATTTTTTTTCATACGTTATTAGTTGTGTAGTTCGCAAAGTGACCCGACTAAATTGATTACAATCATTTTTAAGCCATTCTCCTACAGCTGTTAAGCGCCTGTATTATAAAACAGGAAGGGGGGGGGGAGGGGTGGCCTCCTATATTTTTTTTTCATAAACCTAAGAGCTAATCTATTAAGATGAGATTCTTGCACATCTGCTTCGTATAACTAAGGCCAGCAGCCGTTTTAAGATATTTCGCGAACTTTCCAGATTATCCCCAAATTTTGTGTATACATAGCCCTTTTTCTACAAACTGGGGTGCATGTGTGTGTGCAGTCGTGCATGGTCTTTTTTATTATTGTGCTGGGTGCTATATGAAACATATGCGTGATTATACAAGCCATGATTTCTAAAATGTGTGTGTGTGTGTGTGTGTTTGTGTGTGTGTGTGTGTATGTGTATGTGTGTGTGCGCGCGTGTGTTTGTGTGTGCGTGCGTGTGTATGTGTGTGTGTGTGTGTGCGTGTGTGCGTGTGCGTGTGTGTGTGTGTGTGTGTGTGTGTGTGTGTGTGTGTGTGTGTGTGTGTGTGTGTGTGTGTGTGTGTGTGTGTGTGTGTGTGTGTGTCACGGGTGCGTGCACGCTTTCACGTACACTGCTGCGAAAAAATAAGTATTCTGTTTGCTCTAGTATTCGCTGTGCCCCCAGTGTCGAATTGCAATGCACTGCATTGCAAGAAAGCGGTGCAGTGTACCGAGACTTTGTCGGAGTCTTCGTTCGAGTACCCACCGTGAGAACCTCCGAACGTGTGATCACTGTACTGCTTGTTCCCCGTGGCCATTCGCCACTGCCCTCCTCCAGTGCTGTCCACTTTGAAGCCGCAGAAACCATCTCCTTCGAAGTCGCACAGGGATCCAGCTGCAGGAGTTCATGGAGAAAGAACTTTTTAAGCAATTTTTCAGCGCATGTATACCACTGCTGCAAAGCCGGAAGTCACGAACTAAGTAGAAATTATCATGAAAAACTACGACAACGTCGTGAGGTCGGACTGACAGACAAGGCAATTGTTTATTACACGCCCTCACAAAGGAATAACGCGCCAGACTTTCATAGGTAAATTATTTTATCTATTTTCATTCAGACTTTGAACACGTCTATATAACAGATATTGTGATAAGTCCAGAATATATCCGCGTTGTGCGTAAGGGGGAAAGTATTTCAGGAATTTTACATCTTTTGTAAAGCAAGCCCTGAGCGAAAATTCGACAAAAATATATCTCAGGAACTACCTTGATTTTAATACCCAATAAAGTACTGCGCGCAAAACAGCCAGTACCATGCTGCCCTCAGTTTAGCACTACACTGATGCATACGTCGCCGATCATGCATCTTTGTCGACGGTCATTCCTTATGGCTGTGGAGCGCTTTGATGGGGCAGGCTGTCATATGCTCTTGCAGTCGCTTGGCAACGCTGGCAAAACCACATATAGCCCAGCCATCCATAGCACGCCTTCCCGCCAAAGAGCGGGTTTCTTGTTCTTCGCGCACCTCGACGAAGATATAAAGCATGGATCACTTTAAATAAAACAACCTACATTTTTTTAAAGACGCGGCATGCGAGAAATCGAAGCAGGGTTGAGACAGAAAACAAATAACTAAATAGAAATAAAAAGTAAAAGGGCAGACAGAACTTGAAAATACAAAAAAACAAAGAAATATAAACAAAAAAGGAGTGCCAGCAGCACACTTCCTTCGGGCTTGGCACCACTAGGACAAAGCGGCCTCAATTTTTTCATGCTTCTTTCGCGAATTCACACACTTCGACTAGCTGTGATGCGTATATGATCACATGGGAATAAAATTAAGCGAAAGGAATTTTTACAATATACCAGTCACGAATGTATAGCTGACGGCATCCTTATCTTCCTTTAATGGGAGGCAAACACTAAAAGCGTATACGTGACGTTATCTCACGAATAAATCACATCAATTCACTAATGTGTTTCTTACTTATCGCACGTATTTGCTTCGTTCTGATTATTTCGCTCTATTGAAGCACTAAGACCATGGCATGTCACCCTTAGTAGTATCTTGCATGGCACAGTTTATCATGTTACCATCTCATATGCGCGAACAACTTAATCGCAAATATTCTAGCAAAAACACTTGAGGCCCACGTACTTAGATTTAAGTGCATGTTGAAAAACCCCAGGTGGTTAAAATTTTCAGAGCTCTTTCTTACGGTGCATCATATAGTCATATCATTGCTTTGGTAAAACCTCCTGAATGATAACTTAATCAAAGCTTATCTTTACCAGCCACGCTTGCAATCATTTCTCGTCCCTGTAACCTTAGTTTCAACCTCACCAACCTGGATGTCTACACGTCCCACTTGGAGCCACACGCATCTGGTCAAGAGCAATTTCTGCCAAAACAAGGTCCTGCTGTGGCTGCTGCTGCACGTGCACAGCCAGATGCTTCCCAGCGGCTTCCACACCTGGCACGACGAATGAACCTCTTCGCCAAGTACGGTCGAATCCACGTTGCTGAAGCCAGCTCGCTCGGTCGATACTAGTGGAGGTTGCTGCACACGCGGGGGTTTCTTTCAGATATATTGCTCTTTTCTAGAAAGCTTATATGACCAAGCTCTTTCGAAGTTAAAATTTGGTGGTTGTACAGTTCTTAATCTAGAATCGCGTCATCATGTCCTTATTTAAGCTTTTTTCAGTAGTTAGAACTCGATAAACCTGTCGAAGAATTCCTGAACCCCCCCCCCCCCCCCAAAAAAAAAAAACAATTCAGGACATTGAATCAGAAATGCTTTGAATATATCTAGGGATTTTTTTCGAAACGCCACTTTAGTCGGTGGCATTTTCGAGAATACTCTGAGATTTATAAGTATTCTCCTTGTGTTGATGATGTGCGCTCCAGTGAACGTCATGGGGAATACTCAATTATTTATGTATTTTAGCTTTAAAATCTTCTCTTCACCCTGCAATGGCGGATTTCTCGTATTTTTCTCGTTTCAACAGTGGTGTTGTGGTCCGCGCGTGCCTATTTACTGAAATTTACTGGCATGCGGAATGTGGGCGCAGCTAAGTGAAGACATGCAATGACTTCTGTCTCGAGCACTGAAGCAGCACTTTTTGGTTACTTTGGTTACTACAAATTCAGGAGCAAATGAAAAACAAGAAAGCGAAATATAGGGTACGTCCCACTCACTATTCGTTAAACCCATGAGCAACTGCACCGGAGACAGGCTGTAGAAGAAGTACCAGAACTCGACACAATAATCCCGACTAGAAGACTGTAGTGGCGCGCTGACGAGAAAGTTGTTGGGTGACGAAGACTTCAGCGAGAAGTAAGCGTACTTCCCTGAAAAATGCACGAAACAATCATTAAAAATTAGGTAAACAAGGTCTCTCGTGACAGCTATAATCCAAAGTAACGTACTGGGCTAGCTGAATTCCCATATCAGTCAGTGGTGCAGCTTGACACAAGAGACTTAGAAAAGTCCAGGCTCATTGCTTCTTAGTTTTTCTTTTCTTTTTCGTGCTATATTTTTTATTCGGCCGGCACAATTTAGCACTAAGATCGAAGTTTGCTGCCCTTATAACAACTCCGAGTGCGTTATGACATAAATCCGCTTCAAAGCTTCAACAGAATAACACAAGTGCAACAGGAACGGCTTCACAGTTATCTTAAACAACTCTTCTTAATTCGATGTTACATTGTTTTGTTACCAGTGCTAATGGCTCTCAAGGTTGATGGCTCTAACACCATGACTAAATAGCACAAGTTAACTTCCAGAACATGGTGCACTGAAAAATATTCACGTCTGAGTTCTTCTTCGTGATTGCATATAGATAACACAATATGGAGAAGGTGCGGAACAATGCTGCAAAATAATGTTCCAGTAGTTTAATAAAACAGTTTCGAAAAAGTAAACCTAAAATGTACGCTTAGTACCTTCTGGTGAACGGAGCTTCGAATCCACGTGTGGGCCGTCACCATTCAATATAGCTGTTCGACCAGACCGGATGAGCCACGTGACATCCGATTGGTTCCAAGAACAAAAATCGAAGTCGAAGTCGCAATCCCACGGGGTCGAGTTTCGAGGTTCTGCAAGTAAACAAGGGGACAAATCTTGAACGCACGTGCACTTAATAAACTGATCGACTGTAAAGCAAGTGCTATTTGGCTATTATGCCGCCCCATAATAGCCAAATTTTGTAACTGCAAGACCAAAGAAAAAGCTTTGTGACTTCGTAACCAGCTGAAACAAAAGAACATTTCAGTGACAGAAGACTTTTGTCAAAGTGCCCACACTTCTCGCCAAAAACAAATCGAGTTTGCAAAGAGCTATCCTGGGCGCCCGCAGTCTAAACTGCGCTATAACAAGTTGCTCATGAATAATAAACGTTTCTACTACAACTTTGAACTTGATCGCGTTGAAGAAATACGCTCGCGTGGCAACCAATCAGGTCGCGGAGACTCCACTGGGCGAAATGCCTCACTGTAGGTAGAAAGGAGGGGTAGTGGCATATCATCACATCGTCAATAGCATCTGGTATCTGTACTCTTTGCTAACGCCAGAAGTTTTCTCAATTAACGTTCTGCCCTCTCATTCATTAGAGACACATGCGATGCGAAAATAGAAAATAGTAGTTTTAACTGAAACGTGGCTTTCCGCGCAAACACCACTCAGAAATATTTCACGAGGCAAACAACTTTATGGTTTATCGCTGCGACCGCACCGAGCATAAAGGAGGAGGCGTACTACTTCCGGTCTCGAAGGACATACCATGACCGATTCAAGTGAACAGTGTACTAGAAATAACCTGGGCTTTACTAACTTTGGGTAACTGTAAGCTGGTTTTAGGTACCTGCTATAGATCAACTTCTTCACCATCCACATTTGTTAACAAACTGCATGACTCAATCAACATAGTAAGCTCTCGTTTCTCTTCTTTACCAATTTTTTTACTCAGAGATTTTAACTTTCCAACCATAATATGGAACACAATGCCGATACGTATTTCCCCCTTTTCACAGCAGAGTGAAGATTTTCTGAATACATGCTCTGTTTATTGCTTGACTCAGTAACTCAAGCCACCAGAATTACAAGTAATGCAGCAAGCACTCTCGACCTTATAGTGGCAACGCATCCTGACCTTGTCTCCGACACTACATACTTGCGAGGAATCAGCGACTAGGTCTCGCTAAACTTTGTCATCAATGTTAGTCCTAGTAAAAAAAACTAAACAGCAGAAACGCATACGATACTACCGGAAAGCTAACTTCGAAGCAATAAATAATGAGCTAACTCACTTTTACGATAATTTTGTTAGATATTTTGAATCTCTTTCCGTTCAATCTAACTGGAACCTGTTCGCATGCACAGTTCATAAATTGATTGAAAAGTACATCCCTAATCGTGCACTGATTTCCAATTCCCAAGCGCCGTGGTGTTCCAGTCATCTAAAATGCCTATCTACTCGAAAAAAGCGTTTCTTTCGTTTAACTAAAAACTCGTCATCCCCTTCGCGCTGAACAACTTACAAATCGGCTGCAAACACCTACTTAAGAGGTCTAAAAACTGCAATAAAAAACAACTACCTAACTAGAACACTACCTGAAACACTGAAAACACCCTAGAAAGTTTTGGCAAATGATCAACCCAACCACTAATAACACGATATCACTAGAAGATTCATCTAGAAATAATATCCCCGATACACATGTGCACATAAGCTATTAATGATTCATTTTCAAGCCAGTACTCTGAATCCAGCAACATCATAATTCCTTATGTGCCCCAATATAATTACATGCCCATGGATCCAGTAATTATTGAGGTACCTGGAATATTGAAACTAATAGATAAGTTACCATTCCACTCCGCTACTGGCTATGATGGCATTAATAACAAATTCCTTGAAAGCAATAACGTAGTTAGTTCAATGATACTAATTAAAATATTTGGACAATCATTGAGTACTTGTCAACTTCCAAAGGAATGGAAAATAGGGAAAGTGCTCCCAATCTATAAATCTGGCCCCAGAAACTCACCTCTTAATTACCTACTGATATCACTAACAAGTAATTGTTGCAAATTATTAGAACATGTAATCTTCTCGAATCTTGCTAACTTTCTAGAGTCTAACTCATTCTTTGCTAAAGCACAACAAGGTTTTAGAGAACTGTACTCCTGCGAGACACAGCTTGCTTCGTTTACTCATCATCTGCATCAAATCCTGGATCGATCATCTTGTGCTGACAGTATTTTTTTAGACTTTAGCAAACCATGTGACAAGGTTTGCCATAAATTACTGCTCTTAAAACTAAACTTGCTAAATATCGACACTAACCTTCTTAAAAGGATAGAACATTTTCTCTCTAATTGCTTCCAATTCGTAAATGCTAACGACCATCATTCACCACTCACTGAAGTACAATCAGGTGTGCCTCAATATTCAGTGTTGGGATATTTATTATTTCTTGTATATATTAATGATCTAACTTCTTCAATAACTTCTAACCTACATCTGCTCGCAGATGACTGTGTTATTTACCGTGAAATTACCAATGTTCATGGTACTAAAACACTTCAAACAGACCTAAATATTATAGCTAATTGGTACAATATCTGGTCAACTGAACTTAATATTAAGAAATGTCAGATAATGCACATATCAAGAAGTAACTGGAATTATAACACCTAGCATCTAAACAACATTTTCTTATATTCCGTCTTGTCTTATAAATATCTTGGCTTGCACTTCACAAATAACTTAAGCTGGACAACTCCTGTAGAGTACGTAAGTAACAATGGTAATCGCATGCTCGGTTACTTACAACGTAACTTCTCCAAAGCACCCTCTTCCTTAAAACTAATACTCTATAAGTCTCGCATACGCCCTAAACTCGAGTATGTATCTGCCATATGGGATCTCAGTCATGTTAATCTCATCACCTCTCTTGAACTAGTACAAAATAACTCTGCTGGTTCATCCTTTCTAACTACAACCGCACTGCAAGTATGACTTCAATTAAAAATAATTTATCACTTATTCTATTGACTCACCGACGAAAAATCACCCGTATTTCACTGTTTCATAAAATTTTCTATCACCCAACACTTCATAATGACTTAATATCCAGCCTCTGTACATATCAAACCATGTTGATCATCGCAATACGGTAGGAATCACATCATGTCACACTGAGTCTTTCTTTCAGAGATTTATTCCCCGAACATCTCATGATTGGAACCACCTTCCCTCGAATGTCGCAACCATCACTGACTTCAAACTTTTTCACAAAACATTAGCTAACATTGTATAACCAGGAAAATCAGTTATCTATGCTTATCGCTTCTGTTTGTTATTTATTTTGGAAATAACTATTTTTGTACATTCTGTAGAAATGTTGATATGATCTAAGTCTTTTATTGTATTGTTTTATTTGTATTTATTGCACTGTTTTATTTGTATTTTTCATGTATTTACCCACTCACCTCTTTAATGCTTTTTTGGCCCTGAGGGTATAAATAAATAAATAAATAAATACATAAATAAATAAATAAATAAATAAATAAATGAAATAAGTATAGCCCGCAACTACAGAAAAAAAAGAACTGCGTGGTTCAAAGAGCTTCTAGTGCTAATAACTGGATAAATTCAAACTTGTATCAGGCCCCGCCACAGTGGTCTTGCGGCTAAGGTGCTCGGCTGCTGACCCGCAGGCTGCGGCATCGAATCCCGGCTGCGGCAGCTGCGTTTCCGATGGAGGCTGAAATGTTGTAGGCTCGTGTACTCAGATTTGGGTGCACGTTATAGAACACCAGGTGGTCAAATTTTCCGGAGCACTTCACTACGGCGTCTCTCATAATCATATAGTGGTTTCGGTACGTTAAACCCCACATATCAATCAAACTTCTATCAGTTTTAGAGGCAGCCCATGGGTTTTTGAAAGTTTTATGTGCGTAGAAGACCATGTAGTCAGTTGAGCGTGTACTGATATTCGATCATGCCAGCTCACTTGAAGCGTCGAGCTGTGGAAAACTTTCGATGCACTCGCCGTCGAACACTTCGATGTCGTCAATGGCTATGTCGGATGCGTCATCACTTCCCGGGTAACCGATAATCTGGATCTGCGTTTCAAAAATACATATGAAGGTCACAGTTAATTCCGACGAGTGTAAAACATTTTTTTTTTTTTTGGCATGACATCAAACAACGCCGAGCATGCTGTGTAGGTGACCTTATGGGATGAGCCCGCGTCCAATCCTGGCATCTGTACACTGCAGCCTTCCAGCACTCACAAAATACAACCAATCAGTTTTCGAACTCAGGATTTCTCCTACATTTCCTGGCTTCCATGAGTATCTAGAAACACATTACTGAAGCATTAAATTATAATCTACACACATCACCAGTAAGTTCTACCTGTTTCAGCACTTGCGTAATAACACGTTGTTTCCCCTCGAATGTAAACGGTAAGGCGTTTTGTTAGATTCGGATAGATGATGCTCAACTTAATAAATGCGAACTCACATTGTAGGTGACAGGCAAGTCACTTTGAACACTTCGAAAAAGTTGCCATCCTTCGAATATTTCTTTGGCCAACACTGGAACGTGTCTGAATGCTCTTCCACGCCACGCGTATTGCACCGAAAGGTCTGCTTGGGTGCCTGCTAAAAATGAAAGAAAAGATTATGCCGTATTCTCAATGAGGAAATACAATAACGTGAACAAATGAATTCAGCTTGTCGCATGTTGCCCACTCTGGTGATGAATTTCTAAGAACACAAGAACATGTACCTTCTGGATCCACGTAGTAGTAAAACTGGAGGCAGCTCTTTGGTGAGTAGTGAAGTAGCTCACTTTCAAGGACGCCCAACCGATTCTTTTTGGCAGATTCGGCATCCAGTAATAAAAAATAACCTGTGCACAAAAAAAACTACATTTGTACAAGGCATGTTCAAAAAACTAGAATCATTGAACCACTATGCCTGAGCGAGAGTTTAGTAACGTGGACAGTGGTTAAATGTCAAAGTTCGAAGCACTTTTTATGATTGACACAGAAATAATTGGTCGGACCCCATTCGTCCTTCTCACTTTCGTCGTATATCATACATCATTGAATGTTGGATTTTTTATTTATTTTTTGCATTGCTTTTGCATTCTTTGTGTCAAAATGTGAGATGTTCCACTTTTGCATTGACTTTTGAAATTTGTGTGCCCAGATGAGCAATTCCCGTTTTGGCATGTATGCTAACAGTATGAATAAAATAAAAAAAAACTCAACTATGCCTCAAGAACCAACGTTCCGTATTTGAAATTACTGGACAGCTGCATGAAACCTAAATATTGCGCACGTGAGGAATGTGCACAATTGCAACTTTATCCCTGGGTCACATTACAAATGAATTCAGAGCTTTGAATGACGTATGGGTTCTTCATCTCGGTTATGTAATCGTACCAATTGTCCTGGGACAATAATCAAACAGTAACGGCACACTAGCTCGTGTGATAGTAATACGTAGCCATTATAATCTTCTCACATCAGTCACGACGCCAGTTTTATAAATCTCCTGGCAACGCGCAAAGCACATTTCGCGGAAAATAAAACAAGGAAATGCTTTCCTGCAGGCGCACACTGAGCTAATGAAGGTGATAAACAGAAAGGTTCATGCATTAATGACGACAAGACATTCGGCATTGTCTTACATCTCGTATCAGGACGAACACATGAGGTGTCCACACAACTTCTTGACAATTTGGTGCTATACCTTTAGCAATCTGGTGAAGAAACCACCTCATCACATAATGATGAAAATCCTCTGTTCTCTCATTTCTGTGGTGAAATAATTTCTTAAGGTCACTATTTCTTGCATGGCGGTCCCAAAAAAGCCCGCAATTTCTCTGCAAGTTCTATAGGCCACTTTTTTATATCGATAGCAAGGCCAACATACTTTTTCACTATATTTCCGTTACCTTTTTTGCAGCATTCCGATAAAGGTGCCCCTATGGCCGATTTGAACCAGAAATGCAGAATGTCAACTAGCAGTCAAATAGGGCTGACCAATCGTTTTAGCCCGACAAAAAAAAGCTTGATGGTGAAAACAAAACAGTAAATACGTCAAGTACGGTCAGTGTTACGGGCTGTATAAGTCCATAAACTAAATCGTGGTTACCGGCCCGCACAGACAAACAAACGAATTCCAGTAACAACAGCGAACACTCGCTGCCAGGAAGCTTTAACTTGATGACGAGCGGGCGTTTCGTGATGGTTCTGGCTGCGCCATTTCAATTGTGCCCACAAAAGGAGGCACTCAGTCTTCTTTTCAAGTTACGACATACGGCCCTGTGGGATCAATAACGTGACCTCCATTATCGTATGTGCGGGAAAGAGAGTGTATTGCATCTATAGCCACCATTATTCTCGGGTCGCATTCACAAACTATATATTTCCTCAGTTCAGACACCTATGCGTCGCCGGTTGAGAAAATTATATTCTAGGCACTTTATTAACGCTAAAAACAAATTCACCTAAGTGAGTAAACAAAAGGGTCAAAATGATGAGCGCGAAGAATTCATGCTTCAATTAGGCATAAGCGGCAGTTAGAAATAAGCACTAACCATGAACCATTACGGTATTTTCGGAGTACCTTAAACATGCCCTACAACACCTTTCTAAATAATCACCGAATGGTTTCGCGAACAAGTTTACTATATCATGAATTGGCTGCCGCCTAATCTTTTGAATCGGTATAGTGTGAGCCACATGAGTCGCATGTATCAAGCACCTTTTCTCTCCCCTCAAAATAGCGAGTACGCTGAAAGCTTTGCAAGGAAAGAACTGACAAGAGAGGGCAAGAAGGTGCGCCCCTTCATCAGCGCGGGCGCGATGACCATAAGAACTTTTTTTTCTTCTTCGAGCATGTGGTGGTGGTTGTTTTTTTCAGTGTGATCGTGAGTGCGTGAACGAGCACGAGTCAAAGTCTCACGGCGGCCACGATAACTATGCAGTTCATTAGGCTCAGATCAGCACGCGCCGTGCATATTGTGCTCATTTTGGGTATATGGCATTATTTGTCGAGACAATAGGGAGCGATTCCTAGCTGACTGATGATTATTTGTAAATTTCAGGTCGCTGGCTCTCCTGTTCTTAGAAGCTTCGACTACCGATCAACTTCGTTCTCTGATATGCTATAAAAGAAGTTTTGCGGGACTCCTTTAACGGTGCCCTGCAACACTTTTTGAGCATGGTTAGAAAACGCTGCCAATTGGTAGTAGAAGCTCCCGAAAACACGTGAGGCAAATATTATAGCACAGCACGCGGCCTGGAATACACAATAAATTATCAAAGTCAGCTGAAAATCACTTTCTCTTCTCTCGGCAAATGACGGAGGCCGCTCAAAAATCACTCGTAGAAAGCCCGTACATCATCCACTGGCTGATTTTAACATGGCGCACTCGGTCGTTACAGAGATCACTGTGGTATGCCACGACTTTAGCATGAGTACGCACGCGATCACACTGGAAAAGCCACAAATTCAAAGAAAAAAAAAAAGAAAAAGTGCTGAAGGTCATGAGGCGCGGGTAACGTATTTTATTTGCCCTTGCCATCCCTTCCAGCTTAGTTTCGATCGCTTTTGTCGGGACGAGAGAAGAGAGAATGCATTTGCAGCATGCGACAAATCTTTGTAACTCCACTCGCACTTAAAATTTTTGCTGCGTTGAATTCGTGAGGCACTATCCTCTTTCATTGAATTCATTGTATGGTTATCTAAATAAGTGTTTCAGGGCCCTTTTAGGTTATGAAAACGGCTGTCATAGGTACGACACAAAACTGACGCAATCTCTTAAACGACTGCATGCGTGTGCTCGGATCAACGTTTGTTTGAAAACACCAGCCGCGTACAGCCGAGCGCTGTCCATAGCAAGCGCGTCGAAAAAACGCATGAGCTTATGTGTTTTATCACTCTGGTACTCACAGAGACCAGGCACATGAGCTGAGGCCTCGGAAAATGAACCATTACTTTGCCACCGCAAAATTTAAGCATATTCTACCACACGCTGTTCTGCCGAGCCGATATACGATGAGGGTTATGGCCCTGCTGTTCGAAGGCGAAGTTTCAAGCTTGTTCCTTACACGGACTCAGACACCTCATGAAACGCAACGGAGACTTTGTAGTTTTGTGCTCCAACTAGCGCACGAGGCTGTGCTTACATGTAGATATATTGACCAACAAGAAGTCCTCCATGGTGGAGCAGTGGCTATGGTGCTCGGCTGGTGACCCAAATGTCACACGTTAAACCCCGGCCGTGGTGGTCGCAGTTCCATAGAGGCAAAATACTAGTGGCCGTGTACTGTGTGATGTCAGTGTATGTTAAAGTACACCAGATAATTGAAATTTCCGAAGCCCTTCACCGCGGTGTATCTCATCACCATAGCTTCGTTTTGGAACGTGAAATCCCAGGTATTCCTACTACTGTTACCAAAGAAATGCCGGTATCTGCATTTCTCATTCAACAGTTTTCACGAAAAATATGTGTGTCAGCCAGGTCATCTTTTGTTTTTCAGAACACCAGATCACGTAGTTGCCGTACTATAGCTATCATATTTATGAAATTATGGCAGGGACTCTGTTTCAGTTGTTCGGACCTTCACATTTTGGTGGCTCATGACATCAGCATACATGTCAGTGATAATTCATGGAGTTTAACGTCCCAAAACTACAATATTAAGGTCTCGTTGTGTAACACTGTCACGTGCACACAATCATTTCTTCCCGAACCCTCAGTCGCATGGAATAATCTACCGTTATCTGTAGTGAACCTACATGATCATATTCTCTTCAAACATGCTCTTGTGAAAATGATCTAGAATTGTGATATTCTGCCTTTTTTTGTTTTTGTTAGGTTCTCTGAGCTCTAGCTCTTGTACTTTTCATTATTATTATTATTATTATTATTATTATTATTATTATTATTATTATTATTATTATTATTATTATTATTATTATTATTACAGATGCATACCTGATTTACTGAATAGAGAGGCACGTATTGTATAACAAAAGTTAAAATTGCTTTTTTCCTTAAATTTTTGTCCTTATTGTGCATTGACACTGTACTCATTCCATTTATTGTTATGTGTGTTTTTTTCTTCCTTTTTCTTTTCTACTTTGTTCCATGTTGAAAAAAATTGTGCACTTGTCCCTTCTCTCTCCAATGTACTATAAATACCTTGAGGGCATTTCAAATATACAAAAATAATTATATATATTATGGGAAATGCCTTAGTGGAGGGCTCCGGAAATTTTGACCACCTGAGAATTTTTAACGCGTACCTAAGTTTAAATACACACGCCTTAAGCATTTTCACGTCCGTTGAAAATGCGGTCGCCAAGGCCGGAATTTGATCCCATGACCTTCGGGTCAGGAGTGGAGCACCATCATCACGACCACCGTGCAGAGTGTATACACGTCAAGTATGACGCCGCTGGTAAAGTGGTGCATCACTGCCAACCCCGATTCTTGCAGTAGCGACACAGACAAAATCGCTAAAACTGTGAAGCTGCACGGCGTATGTTGGTGTCAAACAAGCAAAGAAGCGATGCTTAAGCAACATCCGGCAGAACCTTGCCTTTCATGCAAATTGTACAGCTATGGTATGACATCACTCGTTACGCTTCGACTCAGGCGCCAAAAATTCAAGATTTTGGGTTCCAAACACCCTTTTTTATTGAAGACGTCGAGAAATCGGATACTCATCAATAATTACTTCGTCGCCCTTATGATACTGTAATGAAAGTGTGGCACAAGGGCACAGATGTACTAATAAAATAATATCATATGAAAATATTTTCAAATATCATGTGGTACGACATCATGTGGTATTCCAATGGTTTCAAGTCACTTCGAAATTCAAAGAAATGATATGTGCTGCCAAAAGCTGCTCACGAGGAACAGCTATTCCTAAAACGGAATGTGTGATTGGCTGCATACCATGTCTTGAGCCGACAGTGTGGTCTGCCGTTGGGCCACTGCGGTCAGGTGTTGGGCCCGACCACCGTTCCCACGTGAGGTTTTTAGGACCACCAACGTTCCTCCAGTTGCAAAGGTCGTCCTCGAAGGTACAGCTGCCAGGTCTCGGACACTCCCAACCGGAAAACAGCAAGTCGTCGACGGCCAGCGCACTGTCGTTTCTCGGTGGGTTCTTACCCACCAACTCGAGCCGCTGAGGCGGTCCATGCATTGAGAGCAATAAATTAGAATATAGGACAGCGATAATGCAGTTTTCTCAAAAACGCGCACGCACACACACACGCGCGCGCGTGCGCACACGCACACAAATATACAGATGGAAACGGGTGTATGGAATAAGTATTTCGTACTTTGGAGGACGCAAAAATGTCCTGCAAATTTTTACAACGCCGATACAACGCGCGAGGTTACACTGGAATAAACTTTCTTTAGGTGCTCGCTTTTTGTTAACGTATTGAAGTATGGGAAGTGGGATTTACGTCACACTATAAGTGCAAAATACGTGATTTATTTTTATTCACATACTCTGCACGGTTTCTTGTGGTTTAAAAGAAAACGCGGGTAAGCTTAGCTATGACGTGCTTTCATTGTACACAGCGCATACTTTCATGCAGGTAAAAACTTGCCTTCGTTGGTTTCCATACTGATTCTCATGAGTAAAAGTATTTTTTTTTTTATTCGCAGAGTGTTCTTTTGCTAAGTCCGCCTTTTATGGTGCCATTGAATCTCCTATTTACGGTATCTCACTGGCCAGCGATGCGGTTTCTTGTCTACCATGATATTTTTGCTGCTGCTGTTATTATTATTGTTAATATGTCCACCATGCACCTATGTTGTTCTAGATGCGCAGAGCGTCTGACTGGTCCACTGCACCACGGTGTAGTTTTATGCACCTGTATACAGTGCTTGTAACCCGTGTACAGCATTTATTCTGACTCTGGCTGGCCTGAAGCTAATAAATGTATATATATATATATATATATATATATATATATATATATATATATATATATATATATATATATATATATATATAGAACACTATTTCCTTTCTCGATATACTTGCTATCTTAGTTAATTCCCTGAACAAAAGCCTCCAGCCTGCGTGTGTTTGGAAAAAAATCTCGAGCGTCGAAAAGGACACCCTGCACCTCACAATGCCCGGATTTACATTAGCATAGCATGTGTTCCTCATTTCTCACCACGGATGCCGTAGTGTTGACAGCTATGTTCACTGATCCGGATAACCACTGTCTCGGAAGTCGGTCTTCTCCGTTGATGCTCCACACGAGCTCTGGAGATTCTTCTGGGGTGGCAACGTGCTGATATACACTGAGAGCCATTTCGCGTTGCCCCGTGAAGAAATGCCAAAAACGAAAGCATCGCCGCTCCGCCAAACTCAAGTCGTGGTCTGCACTGACTAGGTGGCCACTCGGCTTATCAAGCCTTGCGAAGTTGCCTGCAAAAAGAAAACAAACAAAGGTTTAGTCTTTTCTCGAATCCTAGATTTCCCGTGTTTCTGAGACTTTTCAAATCCGTTGAAAATGATCCCTTATTTGAGAATAACATTCTTTTTTCCCTTTCAGGTTGTCACATCCACGTACCTCCTTTTTAGCCGTCATAAAATTTCCTTCAAGTACAGGAAGTACAATCGGGACAAAGTGAAACGGAAGAAACACACCTTACTTACCCTATTTTGCCATACGTGAACAGCTTGTCCACCCATTTTGTTGAATAGGAATGAAGTAAAATGCAAAAAAAATCTGGCGAAAATTTCTGCACAGTATACTTAAGGCATTTGCTCTGGTAACACGTACGCGTCATATTTCTCAATTAAGCTGGAAATGCTTACCTGTACTTGTGCCAGTAGTGTGATCATTTGGAACGACCTTGAAACTGTAACCTGTGTCCACCACCCAGCCATCCAATGCCCAGTCGCATGGCCCTTCTTCAAAGTTGCAGGTAACTACGTCAAAAAAAAAAACATTGCAGGAAAGCGCTAGTGCTGTACGTGAGTTGAGATATCGTCGGGAATTCAAACTCATTTTGTGAAGCTCCCTCTGCCGCTCTGGTGTAATATTGATTCTCTATTTACACGTATGAATATTCTTTAAATGCATATATAATTAAGTTACGTTGCAATCAAGGGACAAGTAGAGTTCAAAATGACTCGTGAGTGAGCTACTTGCAAACTGACACATGGTTCATAAATACGTATTATTCATGGTGCGTGTATTGTACACCTTCGCAATATTTCTTGTCACATCAGTGGTTGATAGTTATCATATTAAAAACGAAAAAAAAACTGTCGCAAAATGCGCAATTCATTTGAAAATAGAGTGAAGCGACATTGGAGGAAACAGTTCGTGCTTGGTTGTCTACGTTATTCTGTTGTAAAGTTGTACAAAAATGTACGTTGAACTAACGAGTAGCTGTCTCAATGATCTTTTAGGAAGCACAAAGTATCTATTTAAGATGTAGCACCCCGTGATGTGTCGTTAAAGTCAGTGCAGATTCGTCGTGTTTCTTTATTTTATTTGTGTTTGCATTTGTACTGTGATTGCATTTGTACTATTTTGTACTCTACTATGAATAGAAATCAATAAGCTAAACGCGATCTCACTGAAGCTACACCATTCCCGTGGTCCGTCTCTTTTAATACAACACTACTCCTCGAGTGCGAAAAATATAGGGCACAACGAAAAGTACTGCAAACAAGTTTGCTGCTTCTAGGTAGAATTTCTTTCACAGTGAAGATACTAGGTTCATGGCCAACTGCAGGCCATGACAAAAGAGCGCTTGTCGCCTTCCAGAAGTTTCTTGAAAAATCAAAGAATTTATGGAAATATTGACTTACTCTACATGATGTCACCTTACCTTTCATAATAAGGGAAAACCTAACACCATATTAAAAGGTATTAGCTTGAGATAGTATGTTTGATTTTATGTGTAATCATTTGTATCTCTGTAATGAACTAGAGTAAATTTAATCACACAACCATTAAGAAAGCAATATTCAAAAGATCGTGTGATGTTGGAAAAACTGCCCAATATTGAGCTGTTAGTTTAGGAATACTGTATCATCTCTTTTTGTCCTAGTTGACTCCACCAGCCTATGTTTGTGAAGTGAGTGTACGTATCTAAAGTAATGTTATCCTTGTTTCCGTAACATCGTCATCTTTATCATCAGCCTGACTACACCCACTGCAGGGGAAATGTCTCTCCCATTTCTCGCCACTGAACTCGGCCTTGTGCTTTCTGCTCCCGCGTTATACCTGAAAACAGTTTTTCTCATCGGCCCACCTAACTTCCTGTCTGCCCCTCCCGCGTGTTTGCCTTCTTTGAGAATTCAGTCAGTTACCCATTATTGACCAGGGATGGTGCGGCTCTGCGGCTACTACCTTTCCTAAGTAGACCAATTTCTTTACAATTTCCAGCCTCTCCCCACCTATATCAAAAAGCGCTGTCGTCTGCCGAGACTGTTGCATGATACATTAGTTTTATGCGCAGTAATTTTCAGACCTAATCTGTTTTCCGTGTTCTATTCACTGATAATGAGCTGTAATTCATCCCTGGAACCACTTGTCAATGCAGTATCATCAGCGAATCGCAGATTTTTAAGATACATTCAAAAAGTTCCCATTAACTCTTATTTCTAACTCTCCTGCGTCTGGGGCCCTGAAAACGTTCTGTAAACACCCAATGAATTGCATATGAGAGATCGTGTGTCCCTCTCTTACCCCTTCTTCATTGGGAATCTGCGATTTCTTTATGGAGGACTATGGCGGCTTTGGATCCCCTGTAGATTTTTTCTAGTATGTTCATGTGGTCTCGTCGATGCCCTGAATTCATAGCACCTGCAAGACTGCTGATATCTCGCCCGAATCAAATGCCTTCTCGTAATCTATGAAGCCTGTGTATAGGAGTTTGTTTTATTCTGCACATTCTTCTATCGCCTGATTTACAGTATGAAAATGGTCTATTGTGGAGTAGCTCGCACAAAATCCTGCTTGGTCCTTTGGTTGATTTGATTATAATGTCTTCCTAATTCTGTTAGCTAATATATTTGTAAATAGCTTGTACAGAACAGACAGTAAGCTGATCGGGCTCTAATTTTTCACGTCCCTGACGTATCGTTTCTTATAGATTAGGATGATGTCAACATTCCTCCAAGACTATGGTATCTTTCTCGTCAAGAGGCACCTTGTATACAATTTGGCCAGATTCTCTAACATAGCCTCTCTTCCATCTTTCAGCAGGTCTGCTGTTACCTTATTCTATCCAGCGGCTTTACCACTTTGCATTCCTTCTAGGGCTTTCATTATTTCGCTACTAATTACTGGAGAGATGTTGAATTCCTCTGGGCTATTATTGCTTCTTACAAAATCATTCTGGTTGTTTGGGCTTCTGTACAGCTCTCTGTAGAACTCCTCCGCCACCTCAAATATCCTATGCATATTGGTTGTGACATTGCCTTCCTTGTCCAACAATGCACACATCTAATTTTTGCATATGTACAAGTTTGCCTTCACTATTTTTAGGCTTCTTCCGCTTTTTACAGCATGCTTGATTCTCTGCGTGTTATACTTTCTTATGTCGGCTGTCTTTCGCCTATCGATTAACTTTGAAAGCTCCACTATTAGCTGTATTTTGTCGGTTGCATTTGAGGCTTTCATGATTTGTCGTCTTTTAAAAGAATTTTCGTCTCCTGAGATACTTTGCCAGTGTCCAGTCTTGCGACTGTACCTCCGACTTCTATTGCACACTCTTTATCATTCATTCGGTCAACGCCAACGTCGGTTACCTCATATCGAGCTGCGAATCTATTCTGAAGTGGAACTTCCTGTACTTTCCCTCCCAACGCTAGCTCATTATTGTCGTCGTGCGTATGAATTCCTGTCTTTCATTATTTAGGCTGGATCGTTCCAACTATTTCTACATACTGTGCAATGCCCGGGTGTGCCGACAGAGTGCAATCTATTTCATTTTTACTTTCATTATTGAGACTCCGCTAAGTCTACCTAGGCTTAGCCAGTTTTCTGTAGAAGGCATTCAAGATCCGTAAATTATTACGTTCTGCGAACTCTACTTTATAACTCCCCTCTGGCATTTCTAGAGCCGATGCCATATTCCCCCACTGCATGGCCTCCGCCCTGCTTCTTGCCTACTTCAGCATTAAAGTCGCCCATCAGTATAGTATACTAAGTCTTTACCTTAATAATTGCTGACTTTACCTTTTCGTAGAAGCGTTCAACCAAATGGTTATGATTGGATGCAGGCACGTAGGCTTGTAGCACCGTCATATTGTACGCTAAACTTACTTACAATACTTGCCATCCTCTCACTAATGCTATAGTATTACTCAATGTTGTCAGCGATGCTTTTGAGAATAAGGAACCTCAACCCTAGTTCTTTTCTATCAAGTAGTCCACAGGAGCATTGGAACAAGGTGGAGCAGGTTGTAAGGTGAAATAAAATTGGCTTTTGAGAAAAACAAAAAACATCGTCCGAAGATCGGGTCATTATCGGATACCCCCTATAGTGACTCGTTGAAGGAATTTAGAGATAATTACAAACGGACAATTAAATACGAAAGTCTTCTAGTCTTGCAGTGAACGGAGCATAAAAATGTATTCGATGGTATTTATATGCCGGAACAAACCGTCTGTTTTAGAACCAATGCAACGTGGTTTCGGCTTCAACATTCAAGGGTAGGGTTTACAAAACATGCTCTAACACTACACTAGTAATGGTAGAGAGATAATTCTTCTTGCGAAATGTTTTTCAACGTTTCCGCACAATGAAAGAGCAATAATAGAATAAAATCAGTGGTTTTTTGAAAACTGTCCTTTTGAATGGACTACCACCTCATGCCGCAGTCGTGTTTTAACCCAGCATAAGCGTACAAGGCTCCTTATTTATATTATTATTAAACAAGCATATTTTAATGAAGAATGCACAAAACATATCTCCTGTAAACGGTTTTCATACCTGAAACGAGGCATCGGTGATGTTAATGTTAATTGTTGCTTCGATCCAGTAGCTCCCTTGGTGCCCAATCTTCGTCCATAGTTTTGAACCAGAGCCGGATGCATTGTATATCTGTAGGGTCAGTCGACTTTGACTATCCCCTTTCATGTGGTACCACATATGAAAGCAGCGACCAGTCGGGCTGGTAGCGTTCAATTTTGCTGAAACTATGTGCGCTACGACCACCTTATCTTGCATGTTCTCCAAAGCCAGGTACATCCCTGAAAAAAAAAGCTATGAGCATCACAGTAAAAAATGTTCCTTCTGAGAATAATCACCAAGGAAACAGCTTCAGGTGGTACACAAGAAAGTGCGAAAAGTGACAGCTCGATCTTTAAATGAATAAGAAACCAGCTCAATCTATAAGTGGATAGGAAAAGATTAATTTGGTGCGAACACGTTTTCTTTTATACCACGAAAACCCCCTGCCCGAGTATTTTCGGAACTTATTCTTGTATTCGTCTAAGAAGCGTACGTGAAAAACGATTAGTGCTGTAGCATTCTTCATGCATCTTTCTCCTTTTCCTGTGGTTCCCCTGGTAACAAAAAAGAGATTTAAGCAAACGAAAACTGCACAGCTTGGAATGGTGGTTTAGGGCTGAAACCAACAGAGGAGTATTGCTTAACGTTTGCTAGAGATGGAAAATTTTTGCCGGTATTACTAAGTAACGTGAAACATGGCTATTCTTGTCCGGTACGGCCGGTTTCCCGTGCACGCTACGCGCGTGTCACGGGGCTTTTGCGGAAACATGTCACGTCATTAGCTTGGTTTTGGCGAGAACATGTCACTGACTAGTTCTGTGATGTTACAGGATTTTAGTCGCGAGACAAGCTCTTAAAATTTTACGTGATTTTAGTCACGTAACAATCTGTTACGTCTTTTCTGGCAGGAACATGACACCTGACTTGATCTTACGTCGTTGTGGCGGGAAAATTGCACGTGACTGTCTCTTACATGAGGTTACGTGGTTTATGTCACATTACCAGTGGCATGTTTATCTAAAAGCACTTCACGTGTGTAGCTGTTGCGTGATGTTGTAATTTTAGTTACGTGACCACCTTTTGCGTCTTTTTGGCGGAACATGTCACCTGACTAGTAATTGCGTGATATCACGTAACTTTTAGTCATTTGACTAGCTGCTACTTAATGCTACTGTATTATATTCCAGTAGCTATAGTTGTAACTTTATGTTACATTATTTTAGTTGCGTGATTACTTCTTACCGTACGTTACGCAATTTTTTGTCATGTGACAGACTCGCCTATCACAGTTATTTCACTCCACACAGGACAAACTGGTACGTGTTTTCTGGGAGCAAGCCAGAAGTTGAAAAGCACAAAGCGAGCACATAAAATTTCGTGATGATGATAATTCCTGTTCACAATACCTGGTGTAACTAACTGCCTGAAGAGTACCACTCCTAAAATTATACCCTGTTCGCATTCAAACCTGATAAAATATAAGCGGCTGAAACACCGACTGAATTCAAGGGTTTAACGAACCAACATTATTGCCACGGTATCTCACCACATACTGAAAGTGACGTTCAAAGCGAGGAGTCTATCCGCCTGCTTGATGTAGCCAACTGTAACTCCGAAATATTTTCTATTGGGCTGGTTGGTTCAGAGTGTGTATTGATCATAAAAAAAGGAGAACTTAGCGCTAAACAGCAAGAAAAAAAGGAAAAAGGGGACACTCAGAACGACAACTTTCGACTGATTTCGACTCGGCAACGAGCATTTCACCTGGGTTCCCCCGTTCGCTCACAACGACCATGCCGAGACACTCCTTCAAAAGATGGAGAATTCAAAACCTAGAAAAAGGGATGAGCTAGCGGAGAGAACCACAAGGCTTGATTGAGGTTCTACACCACATGTCTCACAACCTGAAACAAAAAAAAGTGCCTATAGTACCCATCATGTTCTCGGCACCGCACAAGCTGAGCCAGTGGTGTACATGCGTAGTGTGCGACAGACACAAGAAACGCAGTTGTTAAGAAAAGAACACCCCAAGTCATATGTAAAATGCACTACGGGTGTAGTTGCATGTTTCTGCTACTTACGGCATGACATATGTCGGCCAGACCGGACGTGGCGTTAATGAGCGTGAGAAGGAACACGAGCTATCTTCAAAAAGTAATGATCCAGAGGATTTGCCTGTGCATTCGCGGGCACATGAATGTTAACCTTGGCTGTACAAGACTGGACATCTCGGAAAAAGCAACAATACGGTCACGCAAAAATTGTTCAAATCCTTTTATATCAGTATCAGTGTCACATCAATTTTCCTCTTCCCTGCGTGAAGTCGTTTTTTTTTTAGTGTAGGACAGTAATGCGATGCGCGATGGCATGCTCTTTGGCGCTTCGCTGCAGAAAAGAAACTATTAGCCTGTGTGCGATGTTCTAATAAATCAGTCAATAGTTCGCACTTTCATTGCTCTTCTCTCCTCTTTTTTTTTTCGTCCTTTTCAGTTATGTGGCCATATTTTTATGGTGAATACACAGCCAATAAGTGTAACATTTTTATCCTCTGTATTTGCTTCCGCTGCGAGAAAAAAAGAAAACTCTCACCATGTCCTGTCGTGTGGTCAGGTATGGCAGACAAAGGCTTGCCAGAAAGAACCTCCCATTCACCGGAGTCTGCTATATTCTCTTGGTACCAGCCGCACCCGTTCTTCGTTTCAAAAGTACAATTAACACCTGCAAATATTATTCAAGAGTACAATTATGAAAAATCACAACATAGCTAGGAAACATGTTATGCCTTCCACAAGGTAGCTTCAGCGCAACAGCCAAGTTGCGTCAAGAAGACTACAAGCACTTTCGTTCCTAGGTGTATTTTAATGCGTGTAAAGAATATTTTAAACACAAATGTTTACGGCAAAACTATATAAAATATTTTATTCATTTTGTTTCAGGACATGCGCTTATTTCGGGAACCTTAACATATGCTCAAGCGAAACGAGAAGCCCTTGTTTTTTAGAGAAACATGAAAATAGTGAAATGGGATATTTTTGATAAAATTTATAATAACCGTGTTGCTTTGTCCCTGCTTTATTTTAGCAATAATGAGAATGCAATATCGAAACACGTGGCTTGTGTATACTAACGCCATGTGATGCAAAATCATCATCATCGTCATCATCATCATCATCAGCAGCAGCAGCCTGACTACACTCGCTGCAGGGCAAAGGCGTCTCTCGTGTCTCGTGGATGAAACCGCTCTTGTGCTTTCTGCTGCCACGTGTAGCCGCAAACTTCATAATGGCATCTACCCACCCAATTTTCGGTCTTCCCCTCACGCGTTTGCCTTCTTTTAAAATCCAGTTAGTGACCCTCAACGACCAGTGGTTATGATTATTCTGCCTACGCGCTACGTGCCTGGTCCATGTCCTCTTCTTCTTTTTGATTTCAACTGTACACAATGTCATATATGATATCCTTAACCCCCATGTGTTCCCTGACTCACTCTCCTGTCACTTAAGGTTACACCCATCATTTTCTTTCCCATTGCTCGCTGCGTCGTCCTCACTTCAAGTTGAACCCTCTTTGTGAGCCTCCAAGTATGAGTAAAAATAAGTGTCGGCAAGATTCAGCTGTTTATACACCACTCTGGAGAAATAGCGGCCGACTACCATTTATGATTTTAGAACGCTTGCCGAATGTGCTACACCCCATTCTTAATTCTTCTAGTTAATTCAATCTCATGGTTCGACTTCACAGTTACCGCCTGTTCTGAGCAGGCGTATTTCATTACAATATACAATGTCTCGCCACCTAATTCATTGATTGATTTGTGGGGTTTAACGTCCCAAAACCACTATTTCATTATGAGAGACGCCGTAGTGGAGGGCTCCGGAAATTTTGACCATCTGGGGTTTTTTAACGTGCAACCAAATCTGAAAAAAAACGCTGAGCTCCGCCACCTTAGGATATAATCGCAATCAGCAGGAAAATCTACGAGCCCAGTGAAGTGTAGGAGTAAGTATACTTACTTCGTTTATTCAAACGCGACTCCAGCTGTTCCACTTTACAGCAGCGATTTGCGTGCAGTATGCCTGTAGTATGCAGCACAAAACTATTGCCGTACTTTATCACAAACCACATGTCAATAGGGAGTTTTAGAATACCGTTTGCAAGCGCTGCGGGTGAGACACAATTTATCATTTCTACCTAGTACGACAATTCTTGCAGCGTTGCTGAATGCGCGTTTTCTTCTGCTACTGTTTACCTCTCTCGCTAGGTTTTCATGCTTTAAATGTTAACTTGTTCAATTCTTGCGTATTTTATGCCTGTAGTTCTGTCGAAAGACGAAAGACCATTTTGTGAGATCAACCAATTTATTTAGAATGCCCGCAAACCAAGAATGTTCTCTAAACTATGTAGCCAATCACGGAACATATTCCACAGCGAATGTTCGTAGATTGTTGAACACTGCTGAACACTTCGAAGCCCTAATTGCCTACTGGCACATGACCTTTTATACATGCCCAGTTATTGACACATAATTATCCAAGTTGTCTATTCGTAAATGTATCTAACGACGCATACCAATTAAACCTTCCTTTCGTATATTCACCAAGGCGACAGCAATCAGCATATACAAAGCTCGCTGAACAAGCAACGAAGGCTTTTTATGTAAAAATGCCTAAAAGTAGCATGCACGAGATCACTCACTTTCATCTGTTGTATCCTCAGGGTGACAGTGGTGGTACTCGATGTCGTCGATACTGACGTTTTCAGCAGCAGAAAAGTAGAACTGCGTCAGTGGATATTACGCCATGAATAACAGCATCAAATACTAATCAATTTGCTTAAATCGGTGTTATTAGAACTGTCCATTTATACATAAATTAAACACATATGAATCACAATGACGGCTATACATAAATGACTCGGGCAGCTATCAACGGATTTGGGTCAACACTATCTCGGTTACTCCTATATTTTATGTTCTTTCTAAAAACGCTATATCTATATTATCACTTGCGCTTAGTGTACAGTCTCAATGGAGAACAATGTATTGATTCAAAATCTTGCATAGCATATCTTTAAAAAATATGCGCATTTTTTTTAAATTTAAACTGCTTTAAACATTTTAGGTTGGACTAATCAATGACAAGCACTCCAGTTTAAAGTAAGCTTTCCTTAACTATATATTTCTATACATCAATTTAAGTTTAAGTGATTGCGTGCTAAACCGTACATACTTTTATTTAATATTGCCAATGAAAGTAACTAAATCACAACACTTTTACGACTCCTAACGAAAATTTAGGACGCGTTTCTGCTTCCAAAACCAAGGCTATATTGCAGTGCGGCAGAAGTGCCAGAAACAATTGGCAACAGTATATGTGCAATGAGCTGTGAAGCATGCCCCATTCTGATAACATTTTAGTCCTATTTCAATTATGACTTAAATTTCCAACCACTTCGTTTAAGGGTGACTTCTAGGCAGTGAATACTAACACTTTTAAATCTTTTTTTCTTTTGCCCTCCCATCTTACTCACTTCAAAACACGAAACAAATTTTGTTGATCGAACTTCCGCAGCTCATCTTTTTGTCTCGCTCTCTCATTCTCTTTAACCTGGACCTTGTATCAAGGCCTTCACACCAATCAAATGCCCGTGCCACTGGCATATTGCTTCCTGCACAATCCACGTTGTTGGCAGCAATGGCCGTACAAAGATTCGAAACAAAGTTTTATTTTAACTATTGAGGCTCTTGTTCATAGGCTTTGCAACATGAATGTCGAGACTGGATCAATAAATGCTACTGCGCCAACTGCCGCAATAAGCGACAGTCTTCACGACACGGTGCTGCTTTTCACGTTGACCTTGCAGATTTTACACATTTTTAGTTTGTTCAACCGAACAAGTAACTTGTTTCATGATTGGGACATCATTCAGAAATATGAGCATTATTTTACCGTTGTTCAAACTAATGTATAGTATGCATCTGAATTTTACAAATGATGTTTTGAAGTTTACCCAATATATTTAACAATTTCCAGTGAGAATAAACGTGAGAAAGTTGTTACTTAAAATACAAGAAAATATTGTGAGCCTTTCTTTGAATTGCCACCACGGAAGAACAATGACTCAGCAGCCTCTGTATGTATATGATTATGGCATGTAAAAGGTCGAAATACAGTGGTCTCGTTAATTCACAAAACATTACATTTATGGAGGCAACTGTTGTCTAAAACATATACAAGGTGCCCTAGCTATCCTCAGCCAGATCTTAAAAATAGGCGACACACGCAATTACGACGCCACCAAATGCATGTTCCTGACCGTTGTCTGGAGTGAGTCAGACTATGTATTGTGTTCTGATTAATGGTTTATTTGAACCCTATTAAATGACTAACTTCTGAAGGAACGAAGATGGGTCAAAAATTTCAATGAGAAAGTTATAGGTCGGTTTGAAAAAGGTTCAATTAGACAGTTTTAATCTTTATATTGGTAATTATCAGTGTTTTTCTGCTAACTACAAATGCTCGCGAAATGCAAAATAATACCACATGACAAACGTACTGGGGCGCCTACGCGCACCATGACTCTGGTGCTCCCTAACGTTCCACGTACGAACGATACGCTTCCTTCGCACGGGTTCATGACAGTGGTAAGCAGTCACAGCAATCATCGTTTTTTCGCCAATAGTGAAACGTGTTTATTGCAAAGCCACCATCATCGTTGCGGCTCTGTTGAGACAGCACAATCGGGCAAATTCTACGGCCGTTCGTGTGTGGGATGTTCAAAAGCACTAGAATCTTCGTGTACACTGGCGTGCGAGCGGTCTTGTCACGTGGTATTTTTTGCATTTTGTTGGAATTTGCAGTTAGTAGGAAAACACTAAAAATTAACAGATATAAAGCTAGAAGCTGTGTAACCTGAAGCTTTACAAACCGATGAACAACTTTCTCATTGGGATGCTTGGCCCATTTTCGTACCTTAAATATTTCGTTTGTGAAATTGATTGATTGATTGATTCGTAGGGTTTAACGTCCCAAAACCACCATTTGATTATGAGAGACGCCGTAGTGGAGGGCTCCGGAAATTTTGACCACCTGGGGTTCTTTAACGTGCACCCAAATCTGAGTACACGGGCCTACAACATTTCCGCCTCCATCGGAAATGCAGCCGCCGCAGCCGGGAATCGAACCCGCGATCTGCGGGTCAGCAGCCGAGTACCTTAGCCACTAGACCACCGCGGCGGGGCCGTTTGTAAAATTGATTCATGTAATTAGGCAAATAATCAGAGCACAAAGAATCGTCTGACTCACTCCAGCCAACAGTCAGGATCAATCATTTGACCACGTCGTCAGTGTGTCGTCATACTTTTAAACTTGGACTAAACATAGTGGGGACTTTCTTTAGCTGCAGTTTCTCTGAGGAAACCAACATGCCGTCTGAACTTGTTACTATATCTAAACATAGAGGAGTGGAGTGGTGAAAGTAGTAACGGTAACGGCGACTCAATTCCGCTAGGTGCAGGTGCACTTCAGCTTACTATATAATATAAACAGGTCCCCGTGTTTCCCTGTGTTACTTTATTGAACCCTTTGAGACGCTATGTAAACAATTGCGTACATCACATATTTCTGCAGTTTTTATTAGGCAGAGGGTAACAAATGGCAATATATATTGTACTTCAGATAAATTGAACCTCCTGCATGTTAAGTTTGTCTTCATATAACCAGATTTTGCTGTGTGTTGGTATATATGATTACTTTTCTGAAGGCACTGCCATGTTTGACGAGTCGTGTGACGTGCCACTTCCTGCGAGCAATGTGAAAATAATTTTTGTTGCTCAAAATGGATATAACCAAGCATAAATTTCCACTATATTCCTAGCCTGAGATTTTATCCTCTTTATGCCTAAAGCAAGCATGCATGACTTCTGGGTAAATAGATATATAATTACGACCTAATTAGGAGGAGTTGCTATAACACTTATAAATTCAATAATGATCGTATTATTCTTGTTGCAATAGAAAATTGAGTGCCTTGAAGTAACGTTGTAGAGTGTTCAAATATTTACAGACAGTTCTTTATAGGTGTGGTCTGAAAGAGTTAACAGTGCTTATGCACTATCGTCTGAGGCTCACGTTACTTTGTACCTTTCTCACACAGCATTCAATACCAGCCATAATGCACGCATGATTTCATTTGCTTTTCTCGTTCTTTAAGCACTAACGAAAGAAGTACAAAAGAGGAACTTGAATTTAGATTGTCCATCACACACAGAATTGATGGAACCCGTGTCATTGAGGGTGTTTGACCCAGTCTCAGCGGTGTCATTGCTTACGCTAAAAGAAAGACCAGACTCCCGCTACCAGCAAACAAGCAAGAACAGCGAGTTGACTGGCTTACTCTGGCACCGGGACGTCGGTTTCCGACGTTCACTGCCTGCATCTTCCAAGTAACTTGGTCCAAGTCATCCCGAACACGTAGCACCCTTCTTCTGACAGTCTCTGTATTGTCTTTATCTCTCAGTGTTTCCACAACGTCCACAGAAAGGTGCACTGCAAATTTGGAAAGGGAGCGCGGAACAGGTACAAGTTAAGTGACTTCATTGTTTAACCAATCAAAATAAGGATGTAGCCTAATCAAAAGACGCTCAAAAACCATGAATTCTTGATTTAGTCTCTATTACTTTGGATTAATCAATATTCAGATAATATATAGCACCCCAGAATTTTTGCACTTTTCCCAAAGCGAAATCCAGCCACCACGATTGGTCTGTATCAAATTGAAGATTCGGCGGTGCAATTCATCAATGCACCGCAATAGCCACTAAGCTGCCGCGATAAAAATGGGATACGTGTTGATTTCACGTATTTATTTTCCCTATACATATTTTTTCTTCACTGTCTCAATGCGATTGTCGGCTCGTGAAACGAGGCTATGTGCTTCAGCACTGATTCAGTGTATACTACGCATGGGCGAAAATCCCCTTGAAAGGAAATTCCTCTCATTGTCATGAATATAGAAGAATTAATTCATCTTAAATTTTTTATAGAGTGTTTTTTTTTCATTATTGTTTTTCATACTTTCAAATATTCGTGGATAGTTTTCTGATGACATGACAGCACATATAATGTACCAGTCTCGTAGGAAGGCATCCCCCCTTTAAAATACTGACGAGGGGGGGGGGGGGTTCCCTACAGAAAAACCATAATGTTTCTCTCAGGTTTCAAAGTCTTAAGCAAGTGTCCCCCATCCTTCGAAAGAAAATTGGACTACAGGCCTGTACTGTACTAATAGTAATAGTTTAACGACGTCAGTGCTACCGGAGATAATAAATGTACTGAAATATTCTGGTTCCAGTGAAGAACAAGAAAAGTTACATATAAATAAATTACTTTCTGGAATACCATACTTTCAACAAATGCATGTTTATGTAAACCCATACGCATAATGCTCTTTGTGCAGTGAATCGCTAAACAAATATTTCTGAAGTAAAGCGTGCGCTGCGAATAATATTGATGCGCATGTGCACGGGTTGGAAGAGTGTGAAAAAACTTTTTGGCATCCACATCGTTGAAGTAACACTTACTTTGTTTAGGTAGAAAGGTGTAGAAACTAAGTCTGCATGAGTGGCCCATCGCACCCAGCTGCGGAGTCATCAAGGCAGTGTTGCGACCCCTGGGAACAACTGCATCGCAAAGCAATTGTTAGTGATGATATATACGTGAAGTGAAGCAAGCACATTGTGCATTATACATAACCCTTACAACGTCCACATCAAAACGCGTAAATAGCCATATAGTTTGGCTGACTAGGTTCATTTGAGTATGGATATAATATCGGATATAATATTTTATGGTTATCACAAAAGAAAAAGCCAACAGCACTCCGACAAGGCTTTCATGAAACCTTCCCATTTCATTCGTGCTTCCTTACTTAGTCTTGCGACCTGTATAGTTATAACTGCATTGTAGCTGCTCATTAAAAAGCTAACGCACGAGCATCGAAATGGTTGCTCAGTGTTATACCAGTTTTCGCATGGCTGTTTCAGTTTATAACTTATCTCAGAGAGCACTCTCCCACAATCTGACCGAGATTGAGTGTCTCGGTCCCGCCTTCAACACCTCCGACATCACCGTCTGGTACGAGAGAGGTAGTGATGGGCAGATCGAAGAGAGATTACAAACAGCGATCAGGGTTCTTCCAGGTTTTCTTCACAAGGCAGGACTCTGCTTGTCGGCTAACAAATCAGAACTGCTCCTTTACTGTAAGGCCCACAATCGGTGCAAAAAAGGAAGTTTTCCAGATATCTCAATAACCACAGCGAAAGGCTCCATTATCTAAATCGTAAAAAAAAGTTAGATTCCTCGGTATGTTCCACAAGGAAGATGGCTGTAATGCCTGCACTTTAGAACGCATCGCAGCCAAAGCCGATCCGACGACAAAATTATTCACAAGAGCGGCCAACAAACAAGGGGGGGGGGGGGGGGGGGTATCCGCGGAGAACCTTCGGAGACTATTTCATGCGTTCCTAATGAGCAACATCAACTACATTGCAAAGGCCAACAAGTGGAGCAGAAAGAAGAAAGCCAGATTAGAATCATTAATCTGCAAGAGCATAAAAAAGTACTTCATCTCCCATAAAGCATCAGTACAATAACTCTTGGCGCTGGGTGTCCACAACACCTTTAGAAAAATAGTACAGACCGACTACGAGTGACGGCGAAGAGCGACCGACTGATCGCTGTCATAAAAGAAAAAGTCAATAGCACTCTGACACTGTGGCTTTGATGAAACCTTTTTATTTCATCTGTGCTTCCTTACTTGGTATTGCCACCTTCGCAGTTATACCTCTATTGTAGCTGCTCATTGAGGTGGTAAGACAGGAGCATCAAATTTGCTGCTCATGCGTATACCAGTTTTCGCATGGATGTTTCAGTTTATAAGGTTGAAGTGACGAGAGACGAAGTGCCACTGTTGTGGCAAGAGACAAAGTGCCCTTTACCAGCCCAACAACGACGGTGGAGATCCCATTATTTGTGATAATCGACCACACTATCTTTACTACATTTGTTTTTCTGTCATTAATGTTTTCATAAATGAATTCAGGATACACGTTACAACTGCCAAGTTGCAGCCACGTGCAAGTCGTGCACTTTTTGTGATATGAATTTACTCAAATTAGCCCATAGTTTTAGTTAGAGGCCAACTGCAATGAAATTTTACCTGGGCATAGTTAGCTCAGAAAGCGTAGTATATGTTGGGTAAACAATGCTAATGAGAGTGAAGAAAACTTGCACTCACATATTTTATTTATAATCAGTGCTCTAATTGTCAGCTAGTAGACGACGCGGTATGTAGCGGTGTGCCTGGGCAGAACGGACACAAACAGAAATGACTTCAAATACAACTCACCACGGCTCGTGAGCAGACCTACCTGCAGCCGCATCCGCTCCTTTCCTGCGTGACGCGCCTCTACGAGTCAATATTTCAGAGGATTTAACTATTTTGTAGTAGAAAATGTGGCGACGTAGACTGCTGGAACGCATGTTATGGTTGAGATCAGCTTTCACGCTTTTGCAAAAACTTGAAGCTCCGAAAGCTGCGGGTTATCAGAGTGAGGCGAAAAGAATGCAATGTATCAAAGAGCGCGGTGCTTTACGTGGCACACTTCAAAGATGACGAATATAAACAAGACCAGTGTCTCTCCGTCCAGATACTGTTGAAACTGGAAAGAATGTTGAAAACTGACATAGCGCCTTCAAAATTCCGTCAAATCCTGCAAAAACAACAACGGGAAGCCCCAATTGGAGTTTCAAGAAGTGCCGGCGATGACATGTGTTCGTATTAAACAGCTTTATTATAGCGTGGAATGCCTTTTCGCTAAATTAAAGCGTAAGTTTACTCCAAAAACAAAACCTATCAAAGAACCCACGAAATGCTAGACTAGTTGCGCCATCTATGGTCGTGTAATTAAAGATTCAGAAGCTGATCGGCGCGCGTCTAGTTGCAAGTAGTCAGCGCAGCGAAGCTTGGCAAAAGTGTTATCGTGCTCAATTCAAAGAAATTTAGCCCTTAAAAGCATTATAAGAAAATGAATTAAGCTTTGAGAGCTTTCATGTAAATTTTTGAATGCAGCCAGACAAGTGTTTACAAATGCAGGGATACTTTTGGAAGAGATGGGAGTGTATGAAACTGAGCATGGGTATTGATAACAACGCTGTCTTTTCATCCGTACTCTATCAACAAAGCGATAATACGTAAAGCGTAAGCGAGTGGCATCTTTTTTTTTTTTTTTGTGAACTAGCGACTTCACAAAAACAGCAGGAGAAGGCAGTAGGCACGAAGCGGGCAGCCGTTATTCAGATACGTGCTGTAACGAGCTTTTGCGATGATGTTTTTTTTTCCCGTTGCATGATTACAACATACACTTTTAGTTGGGCGTACGTAACGAGGCTACGTACGCAGCGTAGCTACTGGAGAGAAGTGCGCATGTGCAGTACCGATATCTCGATTGAAATAACAACCAGATAGCGAAATGGCAGCGATGACGTCGAATGCAGAGAGCAACAAGGACCGGCCCAAATCGAGTATATTCTACTTCAGGGATGATGTTGCGCTAATAGCAGAATTGCAATTCAGCGATCCATTTAGACATCCGGACACGGAAAACCTTGCGTAACTAAACAAACCGTTGTAAACCATGGATCCAAAGTGCTTCGCCTTGTCTTGGATGCTTGTGGCCCTTATGACGGCCGCTACCACACGAGTGCGCTAGAAAGTATTCAAAAGCTGTTTTAATGTTAATACCATACGTCTAGTTGAACCAAACCTATTTCGGTATGGTCAATACGGTTAACTAAAAGTGTCTTTGAGCGCTTCGCATGCAGCGTACGCAACGTATCGTGCTGCGTACATAGGCTCGTTACGTACGTCGAATTAAAAGTGCCTATTGTTTTGTTTTTTCGTTATTATTCACGGAGAAACTTCTGGGGCATGGCCGCGAAGCCAATACTTTGGTACGCATAGCAGTCAATTCGTCTGCATTGGTCGGTCTGTCGAGCTGCTGTCTACCTCACTTACGGTCAGCTGTAACGGAGTCGTTTTTTTCTAGTTTCAGTATCGAAAATTGCGATGTTGGCGGGTGTTTGTTTAGGTAACTAATTGCATTTCTAAGGTGAAATTTGGCAGGCAGCATTGTCTACAGATACACTGCCTATAAAACGCCTTTTTGGAGTGTACACAATTACAACAAACCACCCGACAATAATCGTTAACCAGGGTATTATTATTAATATCGAATCAGAGATTATTGCGCAAGTTCTCATGCTGGTCCGTGTTTGAGAACATAGCCAGCGAGAACACGCTTTTTCTCGAATTTGCCGCCTTCCGTATTAAGTGATTGTCAGTCATGCGACATGCAGAAAGATATTTTGTTCATCTTACTTTACACTTTGCATTTCACCTAATAAAAAGATGCAGAGACACGTATTGATACGACAGACTCTATTGTGAGAAAACTTACATCGACGAATACATTCACGCTCAATACTTGTACACCGCTTTCGTTACGACTGCTGTGGCGAAATTTCTCACCGGCATCTGTCCTGAGGAAGGCAGCGTAGAAGCCGCGCTCGTCATGGCTGCTGTCTTCTCGAGGGAAGGAGGGAAAGCGTGCTTCATTGTGTGAAACCAGAACGGTGGATAAACGTGTCCATCGGGGCTGGCTCTGTGCGCGTGTGGCCTCTAGGCCACACATGTCCACCGAAAAATCACAGGCGCCTGCGTGGGTGAAGGGAACGAGTTGAATGCAAAATTATTTGGTTTATGTAAAGTGCTCAAAAGTTCAACACTATTAAATCAGGCGTTCAGTTGTTACCAACTTCTGCGTTTGATGCAGGCAGTATACTTGGCCACAGTGCTATATCAGTGCTTATGTTGTTACCAACTCAAATACCACCCGCTATATACGCGTGATTTTTCTTGTTGCACCATTCGTTACTCCGTCACAATTCATTCGAAAAGATTATTCACTCATGTGCAAAATTCTGTACATATTAAGACAATGTGTGCGCACTATTCTATGGCCTTTTCTTGAAGAACGTTTGTGATAGCATAGGCACTCGCAAACTTGAAAATTAGCTCAATTGCTTATATTTCATTTCTAAAGAACGGGTTTATGAAGATTAGATAAATAGTAAAAAGTGTGCATCTGTATATTAATATACAGATTGCTCGTGTTGAAAATACAAATATACATCGGCGTGTATAACTATAAATTTAAACTATAAAACTCTTAACATTGGTAAATTTTACGCTGATTTGTGAGCAGCCATGACCTACCGTTGGTCTCCCCCTACCCGCTTTTTTTATTTGTTTAGACAAAATGCACGTCTTACATCTTGCAGTATGTTTGGAGTTCATCATCATTTTTCTAACGTCTATATAATGCATACAAATGTCACATGCCCAGAAATGACCGTATTGTGAACGCAGTATAATGATCGCTGATGTGGTGTAGCGCTGATGCGCTGATGTAGCCCGGCTTCATTCTACGCGGTTATAATAAAATTCTGTGACTAAAGCACATTATACTCTTAATATAACAGCCCGTTAAATTTAGCACATTATTTGATGTACTGGTTTTTCTTCATGAATTGGCAACTTCACACGTGACATGTGTGTAGAAAAAAAGACTCGTTTGTAATGACGTGTGTGCTCACTCTTGGTTGATCACAGCAAGCAATATCCATATGCCATTTCAGAATGGGCATCTTACAGTGTTCTCAAGGGTTGTAGGTGTTTTTTTTTATGTTTGTGTCCATCGAGATAGCCTATATAGGACCTCTGAAATTGTGGCGCATGAACGTAATCAATGTATAACAGTGCTCCTAGCTCTCATAGATGTTTAATTATGTAGAATTTTGCAAGCGAAATTGTAATTTTCATTTCATAACCTTGTCGCCACATTACGTGATGCCGGAGAACTGATTTCCCATACTTCAAAGGATTTAAATAACCACTTTGTTTTAACTTATCTTTACATATACACAAATATGTGCGTTATATATGTACCTCATTTCTTTGTTTGAGTCATTATACAGATTGTTGCAGTTATAGAACACATAAATTACCAAACTAAAAATATGGTTAGTTTTTTTTTGTGTAACGCGGGTTAGCAGTTACATAATAAAAAATCACCTACCAAAGGCAGGGATATTCGAACGGATTGCCCTACTGATTGCACGGTTTAACACTCGGTCATGATTCGCAACCTGTATCTGATAACTCAAACTGCCTGTAGCTGAGAAGTTCGTCGTAACCACTCCAAGCATTTTCATTATGACGATCTAGTGTTTTTACAAATGGCAAAACCAATTTATTATCGCTTTTTAACCAATTGCGCGCAAACCAAGGTCACTAGTATGTGAAATGTGTAAAGTTGTGGCAATGACTGACCGCAGTGACTTTCGTCCGAACCGTCAGGACACTGTCTGAGGAAGTCACATTGTTGGCCTGCTGGTATGCAGTGGGTGACGGATAGGCAGCTGAACTCGGTAGGTGAGCAATTTGATGGTGCAGTAGTGGTGTTTTCAGGTGAACTCTTGGGCAGCAGACCTGAGGCAGTCATACAGTGCTCAGGTATAACACGTGGTCAAAACTGTTCTATGAATAACTTATTTGTATTCATTTGTAAACGTAATAAAATTCATCCTATAGTGGTAATTAGGGACAAAATAAAAAATTGATGGTTTATCAATAAATAATCTTTCACAAAAGTGACATCATTCAACACTACGCTGTCAAGCAGATACGCTAACAGCGTGTCTTCTGATGGCCTAATTGGCTTTTATCTCGTTTTGACTTTTGGAAAAGAATTCCCAGCGCCCATCCCGTGAATGTGACTATACCCTATACAAATCAAGTCTTTGTTTTTGTCCATCCTTTTAATGTCATATTTTTCGCGCTAGCCTCACCTCCATAGATGAGGTGCTGTAATGGGATGTAACTGAATATATTTGGATATTGTCTGAAGAACTTTGCCACACATAGAAACACTTTGGTGCTTGCATATTTTTTACCACACAAATTGCAGTCAGAGGCTATAAATTAACCAAAAGCCCCACATGCAGGCTTTCCTGTCTATCAGACGTTTGTTCGTAGCTCATCATGCCATATTGTAACATTTTTGAGATCCATTTCAAGGTCCTTATTCTGGAAGCACTAATGTACGTCTTCTAGACAACTGAACGTTACGAACACTAGCATATACATGAGTGAATATTTCTCTGATAATGCACTCATATTCTCTGTTTTGCGTTCATTGTTCTCTTCGTCGTGTGTAGGGTAACATACCGAGCACTACCACTGTTAACCTTCATGCCGTATCACCTCAATGTATCTCAGTTCTTACTTGTGTGTACGCAGTATTTACTCTTGACCATTATTGCAGTGCTCTCACTACGAAAAACGCTTACACTCATTCTGCACGCGTAAAAACTTGCTGAAAAATGTCTAATATTTCAACGTTGGTGCCTTCGTTAGTTCCCCCCCCCCCCCCCAAAAAAAAAAATTACGTTCATCACCATGATTACATTTTCCGCAGTTAGCTACTGCCCATTTCTCTTCATAAATTCTACCTGGCTACTTGTTATGTACCCGCGAACTTTTGCAAGTAAACAAACGTAAAAAATGGTTATGAATATTCAGGCTGATGTTTCTTTTTAACTAAAAGTTTTACATCTGATTTACTAGGGTTGCTTACAAACTCATTCGATACTGAAGCAATGTGAGCTCTGTCGTGAAGTTGCCCCAACCTTTAGTACTGAGAAAAGCAGCGCGATAGACGCGAACATTTAGAGCAGATGGCATCACTGCAAAAAGTCAAACCACACAGTGAGACAGAGATTCTATAGGTAGGTACAGTCAATGGTAATATAAGGCATACCTGAAGCAGCATGACAGCTGTCAAGAAACGTGACGTCATCTATCGCTATGTAGCCTGCGGTGTTTCTCCGCCCTTCAAAGCTGCCTTCTATCGACACCTAGTCAAAAATGAAAGAAAAACAACTAAACGGTGACACAGAGGAAATAAAAAAGAGTGAGACTTTTTTAGTACGCAGAGTAGATGCATTGTACTCTACCGACATGGAAAGAAGTGTGCACGCATGCTTGAGTGCCGAACTTAAAGAAACTTGTCACAAAGCTAACTTCTACTCAGTGAGAAGTTGTGCGTGGAGAAGCCCGTTTCTGCAGTCCTCGGTACACATGTACTTTCTGGCTCTTTCTTCCTTCTTATTTTCGGTATGGCTGCGTTGGGTTTTTTTTCGCGAATTCATATGTAAAGCATGAGCTAAGAGGAGTACTTTCTCCTGTGTACCACAGAATAGAAAATCTCGCATCGTATTGTGCGGCCCGCAGGCTAAACGTTAGATGCTGCCAGTTACCAATGCATTGCTTACTTGCGAAACAAAAAAAAAGCCTGTCGAGTAGAAGTACTCCATGTGCCGAAGCTGAAGTAAATAAAGATGTACTTTGCGCATTACGTGTACCCTCAATCTCATTGCAGACGTTGGATAAGAGTAGTTTTTGTGCTTCCGTATTTGCTCTTAACGAGCACAGCCTACTAAAAAAATGTGCTTTGAACAACGTTAAGCCCGTTACAGGCAACAGCAGGTTCTTTCGAGTAGGCGGTATTTATTTTTCGTGCACCCTTTATACTTGACCTGCTGGCCAATATTTTGGCCTTCATTTTTTGTCTCTTTGCTCTCTTTAGTTGCCATCTTTTATGTTTGCTTGAGATGGTGTTTATTTATTTATTTACATATTTAGGTATTTAATTATTTATTCATTTGTTTATTTATTTTACATAATGCAGCTATGTGAAAGGGCTATTGCAGGAGTGGGGTAACAGTGCGAAAAATTGGCAAAAGAAAAGATACATAAGAATTAGCAACAAAATAACAATAAAACACATTTATACCAACAAAGAAATTAAGCTTTTGTTCCATAATTATTTTCAACAAGAATAGTAACACAGTCATTTATTGGGAGTGATTGAATGTGACCAGGTAAGGAATTCTATATTTCTATTATTCGTGGAAAGAAACTATACTTGAATGTATCTGTGCGTGCGAAAAACGCAGCAAATTCGAGCTCGCGGACGTTACGGGCGGAAGAAGGCTGAGCAAATGACAAAATAAAGCTGTGTTTGAAATGCGATGCGAATGGTTCATTGTGTTGTGCAAAAGTGTTAATGATTCTATGTCACGACGTAACGAAAGAGGTTCTAGCATTCGCTCCTGTAATACTAATGACGGTGCATGAGAAATAGCGGTCGTACCTGCAAAAAATGAAACGGGCCGCTTCCTTTTGAACTGTATATTATAGGATATGTATGGGGAAGGAAGAAGTTTGTAAAAAAATTCACTCATTGCCAGGGCAGATGGAATTGCGTTTTATTCTTTACAAATTTTGTGAACGTTTAGGTTATTGGTTAGGCCGGTTTCTTTATGTCACATATTTTATACGCAGTGGCTTCATTCCGTCAGAACTGTTGTACGAATTCCAGCATATTCAAGCAAGTTCGCTAGTCATTAATGAGAATTTTTTCATTGTTTAGTGTTTTAACTTAGCTCGTCAGCACTGAATTTCTATATATATGACAGCTAAATTATTATATAATAAAAATTCACACAATCAAAATGCAACACAAAATCAGCAGCATCATATGGTTAGAAAACACAGTTTGGTAAATTAGTAAATAAATCAAAGGCGTAAGGAGAACAAGAACATCTTCAGAGAGATATATGAGCCTTATCATTAAAAATCACTTGAAAATAAATCAAACAGACATCAATCGTCACCTCAAAATCGGAATCTTCGTGGAATGGCACAAATGCTTCAGTGAAATGGCTAAAGTCAGTAGGGCGATCGGTTTTCCACACTTCCTTAAATTCGCCGTCTGCAGTTATACGAGTCTTGACACTGAGCACGGCGTTGGTGGGGCCTCTTATCGTGTAGTAAAAACGCATCTGCATATAATCACAATCACTTATAAAAATGTGTACGTGCACTGCTTTCAAAAATAAAGGTACGCAACAGCGAGGCAATGGAAAGTGAACTTAAAAGCTGCAGTGCGAAAAAACTGCTTTGTTGTCTATTATAAAAAGCTTCAGCAAAGACATCCTCTTAAAAAGCAAAAAAAAAAATTTGTTCACCTCTCTAAGAGGTCCATACCACTATACTTTCTCGCAGAAACTATTCATTTCATCAAAATAATGCCATTGCAACAAAACCATTTTCAATTAAAAGCAACTTTGTTCCTTTAGATGATTTTCTTACGTCATCTCTAAATTCTGTAATCTTCTGAATTTGATTATCCTAGTTGAGATCTTTGTTACAAAATAGAAGTCCAATATTTTTTTTTATTTGTCAACTCGCGGCCTCATAGAGTAGATTTTTAAATCGTTTGTGAGGTCGTATGCCATTTATAACAATATAAAACTCCAATACATCTGTCTGCAATATGAGATCTATTCAGAGTCAAATCTGAAATACTTTTAGCCAAGTTCTTTTACTATCACAATTCTCTCTTAGTAAGTGTAGACAGCTGCATTTCAGAAGAGACTCACAGCTGAGGATACAGGTTCTCATCGACAAAGAAGCAAAAAGACATGGAGAAGAATTTTGGCAAGATCAGGCCGCATATCGCGGCTTGCTCTTACCACACAAAGGTTACTGGCATTCAGTTGAGGTCCCAGAAGTGATGCGAAGACAGCTTTCACTTTTGACTTCAAGAACAAGAAAGAACCTGTTGCAAAAAAAGCAGCAAAATGCTATTTTTGTAGACTGCACAAATTAAAATGGTACAAAACTTGAATATTGTCTAGTGCGCATCAATATTATGGTTGCCTTCGACGAAATAAAAATGGGAAAGTACGACACAGATTTTTCATCATATAATTTGATAAGTACAAAATTTCCTCTCATAATTAGTTTCAAACGCGAACTTTAAATATCTTTAATATAGCACATTCAATGGGTGGCATAAATTTGTGTGACTTCGTATGTTGAAAGTATATTTATTGATGCATTGAATGTCTGGTTAGCTGCACTAATTTACTTATAGAAAAACAATATCAGTGTAATCATTTCCCACCATTCGGATGTCTGTAGTACGGACCGCATAGTTCCTAATAAATGTTTATTTAACACCATCAATAAATATGAAGCTGACATATGCACTGCAAACAACCAGTACACTAACCCGATGAGCACAAGAAAGATGACCACACCAAAGTTTTGTAGTGTGTTATTGTACGCCGGTGTTTTGCGATGGTGCACGAACAAGCCCAAGTGCTCAATACTCTGATATATCTATTCATAATAAGCCTGTTTTGAAATGTGCTAATGACTCCTTTCAGTTATGTGCATTTTGTTTTCAATTTAATTTACTCCTTATTTGACTGTGCGCCAAACAAAAAAGCTTGGTTCCTGTTTTTACAACAGAATTGAAAGTTGGGCTAGTTGGATATGCATGGTATAGCTGTCAGTTCAAGCGCATGAATAAACAGAAAGGTAGAGGGACCAAGTGCTTTCTCGGAGTTGCGAGAAAGCGCTTGTCCTCTCTTCCTTTCTTTTTATTCGTGCGCTTGAACTGACAGTTATATCCTGTTTTTACGCATGCCAATGAAGATTTCAATTCGAAAATAAAACTATCTGGGCCTATTTTATACCTGAATTTCATTGCATCACATATTCGCTCTCCCGTTCTATGGTTAATATGGTCAGGATGATTATTATTCGAGTTCTTTAGATGCCTCATCATACGCGAAAATTTACTCGTTCGGTGTCAGCGTCCCATGGCGACGGCGTCAACACAAGTCATGAGGACGCCATCATGTGACTTGATAATAAGGTCACATGATGTCATCGCACGGCATCGTCGCTTGGTCAAAGGCCGATCACAGAGGCAGTGTAAAACAAGGTAATTTGCAAAAAGCTTGCAATGTCTCTGATATTAGAGGTGTTTCGAATCCCCTTTCAGTCCCGAAAGCTTTCGGAGTGAGCCAGATAGGATGATTACATGACTGAGACGAAAAAAAGTTGGCTTTCACCTTCGTGTCTCCTTAAGCTAACGCATTGGCACCCTGTGAGTATTTCCTGTTGGTCTCTACATATAGTACATTACCGCATATTTCATTAGCTGTGCACATGAAGTTGTTTTTTGAATGCACCTTTAAGATACTGTCACAGCCAACAAGCTAAGCGTCAAAGGCGCTAGCCGTTGCTTCCACATTACGTGGAGGCAAAAGAAAAACATGACCGTGTTCACAGATACTCTGTGGCGTATCGTGAATTCCTAAAGTGGCTTGGTAATACTGTTGCATGGAGCTTCACGGCGTGCTCCGATGACAACGCAATGTTACCGTCTTTTCCTCCACTTGTGTGATCTCGCGTTGGTCCACGTGCCAGGTATTGGAAAGGTTTTACTCTTGTCCAACCACCACCTTGGCTTGCCTCAAGTGGAATCCAGTCGCAGAATGATGAATCGAAGTTGCATCTAAACTTGTAGTTGTCTGAAAAGCAAGCGGAACAAGCACGCATAATACGTGATTGTTATTCTTGTTGTTGTTGTTATTTTTAATTGTGACCTCCTGAAACCAGCTATTTGCTGCACTATCAACACGAAAACAGCAAATAGAGGCCGATCGTTATACTTGTGAAATAAACATAACATGTGCACAATTCACCAACTTAATACTGCGAAATAGGCTCCGAATAATTTATAGATAAGAGCTCACACGTTGTCAGATAAGCTTCACCACCACCAAATTCTCACATGCAAAGAAAAGGACGCTGTGTCCCACGATCAAAAAACAGTCGCTTGGTCAAATTTACATTCAGTCGTAATGAAGCTGAGAAATTTTCATATTCTTGGTTTCATACGCTACATGTTTTTTTTTTTGTAGCAGCAGCAGCACAAGCAATATTTTAGATTGTTTCAGTAATAATAAATGCTTTCTCATTGTAAAACGTGTTTTCTGTAAAAGAACATTCAGTACATTCGCGCATGAAGTTTTGCTGGTCACGTAACTAAGAATTTCGTTACTCCTCATGGTTTCACTTCTCATCATTTGTATTAGTCTTGAGCATTTTCCTGATTTTCTTCAGTCGCAATCCGTATTTAAAATTCAGATCTCACATTTGCAACACAAAAAATCTCAATGAAGAAAAGAACTTGCAGAAATGCAAATAAGCAATACGCAGCACTTTTACGTAGAAAAACAATACTAACGTAAAGGTGTGGAAATGCTGAAAAACGTTACTTCTTTACAGTACAAGAAGTCATTCACATAGTGTGAAACAAGTCTGCAGTAAAGATGTTTCTACGAAAAGAACGCCCGTTGCTTTTATGGATCTACGAAACGTGGTTGCGCTACTCAGATGTACAACCACGGAGACACTGACATGTAAAATTGAAGCCGACGCGAACTGTGAACGCTGTTTGTATTTGTTTAGTGTTTGGGAAACAATCGGAACTCCAACAAAAAAAATTGGCTCGAATCTACATGTTACACTGTAAATGTCGTCGAAAGACGATAGTCTTGCGTCTGGAGAGAGTGAACAAAACTTTTATTTGATGTTCTGCGCAAGAAAATCGGTGAATGGTATTCTGCAGGCACTGCGTTAGAGTGCCTCGAGCGTGTGGCGGAGGCGAACGAGCGCATCTAGGCACGTTAGACACAAGTGACATCTGTCAGTTATCTTCGAAAACGAAGGCGTGCAGCCCGCGGAGAAAGATGCGCACCAGTCTTGGAGGTGATAAGGGGTAGAACGCAAAGCGACGGGCAGGTGCCACCACCGTGACGTCGTAGCAAAGCGTTGGAAACACCTTCTTGAGCATCGCGTTGCACTGTCAGCGCTGAGCGATAAACGCTACATTCCTTAGAGTTACTTGTGTGTGCCTCTTCTAGTATAAAGGCAGACATACAGAACATCGAAGCGTTGTTGTGGTGCCTCAGATATGCGCAATAATTGCTTTTTAATTGACAATCGCACAACTATGAACGCTAAGTATTGAGCAATATTGGTGGGCGCTGCGGATGGGGTTGGCCGTTTGGTGCCATTTGAGGTATTGTTAGGGCGGACAAACAGACCAATGTGCAGACAGACAGACAGACAGACAGACAGACAGACAGACAGACAGACAGACAGACAGACAGACAGACAGACAGACAGACAGACCAAAATCGTTCGGTCGAAGGTCCCCAGAAAAGACTATCATCTTTGAAAGTACGTGAAAATGCGTAAACCCGACGTTTCGGAACCGACTTGCTTCTTTCCTCAAGGGGGATTGGGGCTACGTTGCAGCGGCGTCTTCAAGGCACTCGTGGGGCAGATAATGACCCTTCTCTCTCCCATTTCGCCGTGGAGCGTAGTCCGTGTGCATACACTAAGGGAGGGGGAGGGAGTAATTAACTGCCCCGCGTCGCTGCAACGTAGCCCCAATCCCGCTTGAGGAAGGAAGCAAGTCGGTTCCGAAACGTCGGGTTTACGCATTTTCACGTGCTCTTTGGTTGGAGTTTAAATCGTTTCCCAGTTTACATACCCGAACAGACAGAAATCTGTTGAATGTTTAAATTCTGTTTCGTGTTTACGTGTCATTGTACCTGTATGTACCCATTTCAGAAGAAAACTCATCCATAGCGTACAGTGATGTCATATAAACTAGCTCTCATGGCATATACTACGATTAATTTTTTTGTATATGCCATAAGTATAAACAAACAAATATATTTTTCTTCATTCGTCCCTATGAATGGAGGGTTAGAAACTGCGAGTTAGTAACTCAGGTCTCTGTTCATACGAGCGAGCGTAGAAGTTGCTTCATGGCATAAGCGCGTCAGAGTTAGAGAAAAAATTTGAGCGGTGAGTAACTGTGTACATGAGCACGGGGAGGCAGCAGTGGCGCAGTTTGGTGGCAGCGACGGAGGCAAGGGAGACGCGAAAAGGAAAAGGGGCGCGAAGGCTATACAAAGCAGCTCTGAGCTTTTTCACTACGGGTGTAGTACGCCGTCAAGCTATGGGAGATCACTCGCCGTCTGCGCAGAGGAAGTGCTCGGGCCCTTCGCGTAGATGAGATGTTAGATATATCTGCTGTCAGAGTATTGAGTAATGAACAGTGAGGAACTATAACAGTTTAGCGTTTCTTTAAGCGTATCATTTGAACTTAGCGACAATCTTATTGATGAGTGTAAATACAATGCGTAAAATGAAGACAAAAGGTTCAATGAGAATGCGCTTACATGCAGATTTACCACAAGGAGGGTTTATAGTGGAATCAGATATAATGAATAGGTAAGAAACCCTACACGAGACCTTAACAGGATTCTAAGTGCGTAATCCTTTCATTCATGGACGAAACAAATAAGCGCAGTTTTAATTAGAACTGATACTGAGTTCCACGTGCAAGCTTTCATTTTAATAGCATATACGCTTCGACGATAAGGCAACCGTATGTGTTATGATAGTATCCTATCACCTGGTACCCTCAGGAAGACTGAAGAGCTTCCGCGGGCACCGCAGTGAGGGGTTATGTTACTCACTCGTCTTACTTTAATCAATAGTGAACTCAGTTGTCTCGACAGTGCTTAAAGGAATCTTGTGATCAGACTCCCTGTATTTTTGATCGTTTTATTGTCTCTTTGTCGAAATTAGTCTCTATGAAAGAAGTGCGGGGCTCCTTTGATACAGTTCCCGAATGCCGCAACCGTGTGCACGTGACGGAGAAGGTTAAACCTTCTGGCTACATCTATGACGCTCTCTCGTTGGGTCACAAGTTCGCCGTAGAAACCGAGAGGAGCCCTGAAGAGCTGTTAACTTTCGTGAGTTAGATGTCAAAGTATACGACGGAGGAAGCGGTTCCACGCCTTATATCTGAGGGTGTTGATGTGGTTGTCCGCTCTGAAGGAGTGCATCCGAAACTCTAGGTTGAGCACGTCACTGACTACCTGACGAAAAATTCTCTTTGTGTGCTGCCAGCTAATAAGGAAGGTGGCTTCTGTGTGTTTCCCACGGGAGTGTTTTGTGAAAAAACTCAGAAGTGCCAGTGCCAAAATCTTCAAGCGGCGCAATGATGTGTCACTGAGCAAGGTAAAGTCCTCAGCTATTAAGCTATGGAAGAACTTCAAGCTTGGGAGATTAGAGAAGTCCCTAGAAATTAGCGAAATGAACCACCTGTTAGTTCAATTCAGTCAAAAACCCCTAAAGTTTACGTTCCCCTTAGGGTTACTGTGTCATAATATGACTCCTAGCAGAAGCCAGTAGCACTGTTTTTACAAGTCAAGCCTTAAGTGTTCGCCAAATTAATACCGCTTCCTGATAAGAAGCGTGGAATAAATAATTACTAAAGTCAATTTTCAGTAGCTAATGCTCACAAAGGTTACCAAGTTTTTTCCATTCACACCAAAGATATTTTTCCCTCCATCCTCACAAAGATCGGCCAGAAGTAATGGAACAGTCCATTAATGAAAGTGGTGCCATAAGGTTCCAGAATGACATCTAGATATCTAGTAGCAATTTTTATATCTTTTCTATCTTTATCACGCGTCAACTTTTAATAAATGGGACGACGCTGTTTATCTACAGAAAACGAGGGTATGTATAAAATCGTGCATTGCACCCGTACTAAGCGATCTTTTTTTCGCCCGTCTTGATGTTGTTCTGTCCGATAAGCTCGCTCACACAAACGTGCGCAAGGCTTTTCGTTATGTTGATGATTTCTTTTTTTGTTGTTGTTGACGAGTGTGCTTCCGTTGACATGAAACGCCAGGTTGCAGAAATACTGCCAATAATTAGGGAGTGCCTTGTACCACTTGAAGGGACGAATGAAATACCGCAAGAAGACACAATCCACTTTCTTGACCTTCGTTTGCCTTGTTCGTTTGAACACACTTGCTGTTGCTATGAGCCATGGTCAGAAAAGTTTGTCTTGCAGTACAATTCAGCGCATTGAAAGTTGATAAAACGAGGGATCGCCAGGCTGTGTTTTACGAATGCCCTGATGAAGTCATGCCATCACACTATAGCCGATAGTGTTGCAGGACAAAGCAAGCGATTATTCTTGGCAGGCTTGTTAGTGCATGTTAGCTTACACACTCTCGTCTGTTTTTTTTTCTTTTTGACCGTATAGCCCCTTTTCTTCACGCTCAAGCAGCGTTGTGCTAAAGCAATATCACCTTATCATGCACCAACTCACCCAGTCAGCAGTACTTGTCGGCTTCTTTATTATTTATTATTAGTTCCTTCTTAGCAATAAACTTTCCACGTTGTTAGTCAGAGCTAACTACGCATTGGACATTCTATTTTCATACGTCGTCGTATTTTTATGCTCTGTTCCTATCGTTGTTACACCGCTCAGTCAACAACGTAATTTATCAACTCGCGCTTTTGAAATACTACACCTGCTGCGATACTAAACTATGTGCATG